TCTCTCTCTCTCTAACTCTGCCTCTCAAATAAATAAAATATTAAAAAAAAAACTAAAACAAGAATCAGACATCTGACACATCAGCTAAACTGCCATTTGGCATGGCCATATACCATGTGGGATGGCCTGGTTGAAGTTCCACCTGCTCTGCTTTTGATCCAGCTTGCTGCTAATACACATCCTGAGAGGCAGCAAATGATGGATTAAGTACTTCGTTCCCTGCCACCTACATGGGAGACTCACACGAAATTCTAGGCTTCTGGGTTGGGCCTGGCCCAGCCCTGGCCGTTAAACGGGCATTTGGGGAGTGAACTGGTGGATGGAAGATCTCTGTCTCTCTGCCTTTCAAAAATAATAATAATAATAAATAAATTTGGCTATATTCTGGTTGTGAAAGATATACCTAAAGTATAAGAACATGGAAAAAAAATAAGATATGAGAACATGGAAAGACCAAATTTCAAAGACTAAATATATAATATAGGTTAATTCTAACCACAAGGAAGCTGATTTAATTGTATTTCTAGCAAACAAGTGTAAAGAATTACTAGTCATTACAAAACAGTAAAAAACTTAGCCAGGAAAATACAACAACTTTAAACTGGAAAGCACTCAGTGACAAAAGCTTTTAAAAATGCATAAGAGCAAGAATTGATGAATCCCCAAGGAATTATTAACAAATTTATTTTCATAAGAGGCATTTTAACATACCCCCTTTGTCACTTAATATATCAACATAAAATCCTAAAATATATAGAACATTTTGAATAGCATAGTTAGGCCAGCCTAATAGAAACAGAAAATTGCTCCTAATAAATAGAATAGGGAATAAATTCTAGAGAGCAGTCTCTTGGCCTACCAGTTAAGATGCCTGATCCCACATAGGAGTGCCTGGGCACGAGTACTAATTCCAGCTTCTCATCAGTGCAGACCCTGGGAAGCAGTGGTGATGGCTCAAGTAACTAAGTTCCTATCTCCCATGTTTCACTCCCTGCTCATGAGTGCAGCCCTAGCTCCACCCCAGTTGTTGCAGGCATTTGGAGAATGAACCAGGAAATGGGAGCTTTCCCTCTCTCTCTCTGCCCTTAAATAAAAAATAATCTTTAAAAACACTTATTTTTTATTGTTTATTTTAAAAGGTTTTTAAAAACTTCATTTTCAAACACACATAGAACATTTATAAATATTAACCCCATGCCAGGCCATATCCTCACGAATGACTAAGGGCCGGCACTGTGGCATAGCAGGTTAAGCTACCATCTATGACACCAGCATCCCATATGGGCTCCGGTTCAAGACCTGGCTGCTCCACTTCTGATCCAGTGGAGGAAGATGGCCCAAGTCCTTGGGCCCCTGCACCCACGTGGGAGACCCAGAAGAAGCTGAAGCTCCTAGCTCAGCTTCAGCCTAGCCCAGCCCCAGCTGTTGCAGCCATTTGTGAAATGAACCAGTGGATAGAAGATTCATTCTTTCATTCATTCTCTCTCTCTCTCATTAAAACAACAATAACAAAAATCCCTTGGAGCCAGCATCATGGCACAGTGGGTTAAGTCATTGCCTGCCACGCAGGCATCCCATATGAGCACTGGTTGGAGACCCAGTTGCTCCACTTCTGATCCAGCTCCCTGCTAATGTGCCTGGGAAAGCGGCAGAAGATGGCCCAAGTTCTTGGGCCCCTGCACCCACGTAGGAGACTGAGAGGAAGCTCCTGGCTTCGGCTTGGCCCAGCCCTGGTCGTTGAGGCCATTTGTGGAGTAAACCAGTGGATGGAAAATCTCTCTCACTCTGTCTCTCCCTCCCTCCAACTCTGCCTGTCAAATAAATAAAAAATAGCTAAATCTTAGAAAAATGACTAAATGCAAATAAGTTAGAAATTAGTTACAAAAAGGTAATTGAATGAGGGAAATATGTTTGGAAATTTTTAAAGTTTATTGTTTTTATTTATTTGAAAAGCAGAGCAGCAGATGAAGAGAGAGAGCACGAGATCTTACACCCACTAATTGATTCTCCAAATGCCTGCAAGAGAGCAGGGCTGGGCCAGGCTGAAGCCAAGGACCTAGAATTCAGTCTAAGTCTCTCATGTGGGTGGCAGGGGCCCAAGTACTTGGGCCATCCCAGAATGCACATTGAATGGAGCCAGACTGGAACCCAAGCACTCCAACATGGGATGAAACCGTCCCAAATGACTGCTTTACCTGCTATACCGCAACATCCGCATCTTGGAAATTTTCAACACACTGTCAGTCAAAGAATAAATCTTAATAGAAATTAGAAAATACTTACATATGAAATGTTAATGAGGATATTATGTATCAAAACCTGTAGTACTTAGGAAGAAGTTTACCATAGTAGCATTTACATTATAGGAAACAATTCAGGCTCAAAATAAGTAACTAAGAAGTTAGGAAAAACAACAGAATAAACCTAAAGAAAACAGGAAGAAGGAAATAACAATAAAAAAGAGCAGAAATTATTAAAACACTCCTAGAGAAGGACAACGAAGCCAAAATGTGTTATACTAAAAGACACAAAATAGACTGATTGTAGCAAGAGTAAGCAAGAACAAAAAAGAAAACACAGATATAATATTAGAAAAGATGCAGGAGCCATAGTTAAATGTGCTATAAGATTAAAAAGATAAGAATTGTAATAATATTTTGTCAAATACGAAAACTTAGATAATATGAATAAACTCCTACATAATTCACAAAAAATATCTAAAAATGAAATGAGGGGGTTGTGTGGTGTGGTGTCACAGGCACTCCCACCTGCAGTTGTCCTTGGAGCTTGCCTGGAGCATTGTTCTGAAAAATAGCAGTGGCGAGAGAAAGATGACAGCCACCTCGCATCAAGGAGTTGTGAGCATTGTGTCAGTGCTCCAGTGTGGTCGAAAGAAGAGCCAAAGTGACAGGGCGAGTACATGTTTTCTTACCTGACGCGGACAGGACGGAAGGTATGGCCCAGGGGCTGCCTGTGAGGTCATTCGGGGAGCGGTAGCGAACAAGTACATGGGAGAGACTCTCTCTCCTTCCCTCCCTCCCTTTCTCCATCAATAAATTAAGGGAAAAAAAGGCCGGCACCGCAGCTCACTAGGCTAATCCTCCGCCTAGCGGCGCCGGCACACCGGGTTCTAGTCCCGGTCGGGGCGCCGGATTCTGTCCCGGTTGCCCCTCTTCCAGGCCAGCTCTCTGCTGTGGCCAGGGAGTGCAGTGGAGGATGGCCCAAGTGCTTGGACCCTGCACCCCATGGGAGACCAGGAAAAGCACCTGGCTCCTGGCTCCTGCCATCGGATCAGCGCGGTGCGCCGGCCGCAGCGCGCCAGCCGCGGCGGCCATTGGAGGGTGAACCAACAGCAAAGGAAGACCTTTCTCTCTGTCTCTCTCTCTCACTGTCCACTCTGCCTGTCAAAGAACAAAAAAATAAACTTAAGAATTAAGGGAAAAAAAGAAAAAAAGAAATGAGGAACCGGTGTTGTGGCATGGTGTGTTAAAGCCCCAGCCTATAGTGCCGGCATCCCATATCAGTGCTTGTTCGAGTCCTGGCTGCTTCACTTCTGATCCAGCTTTCTGCTGTGGCCTGGAAAAGCAGTGGAAGATGGCCCAAATCCTTGGGCCCCTGCACCCGCGTGGGAGATCCAGAAGAAGCTCCTGGCTCCTGGCTTCGGATCAGCTCAGCTCTGGCCATTGCAGTCGTTTGGGGAATGTAGCAGCGGATTGAAGACCTCTTTCTCTCTCTGGCTGTACCTCTCTCTGTAACTCCGTCTTTCAAATAAATAAAATAAATCTTAAAAAAAAAAAAAAAGAGCCCCAAAATTAAACAATTGGAATCAACCACCTTTCCAAAAAGTAAACACCAGATCCCAGTGGCGTTAACAGTAGAAAAATAAAGAATTGAACTGTGATAGAGTTATACAATTGAGTGCTACATAGCAATGAAAATGAACAAACTACAGCTCCTTGCATCGACATGACTGAGTCTCAAAAGAATATTTGTTGAGTGAAAGAAGCAATAATACGATTCCATTTACATAACACTCAAAAATAAGCAAAATAATAAATGCATAAGGATACATCAATAGATGTTTAAAACTGTAAAGAAGGGGCCAGTGCTGTGGCATGGGAGTAAAGCCACCAGCTGCAGTGCCAGCATCCCATATGTGCACCATTTCAAGTCCTGGCTGCTCCACTTTCGATTCAGCTCTCTGCTATGGCCTGGGAAAGCAGTGGAAGATGGCCCAAGTCCTTGGGCCCCTGCACCTGCATGGGAAGACCTGGAAGAAGCTCCTGGCTCCTGGCTTTGGATCAGCCCAGCTTCAGCTTCTGCCATTGTGGCCAACTGGGGAGTGAACCAGCAAATGGAAGACCTCTCTCTCTGCCTTTCCTTCTCTCTCTGTGTAACTCTGACTTTCAAATAAATAAATAAATCTTTTAAAAAACACTGTAAAGAAAAGCAAGAGAGTAATTACTGTGAAGTGTAGGGTAATGTTTACCCAGAATAAGGGATTCAATCTAGGAAGGACATACAGAGGGGCTTCTAAGGTACAAGAAATATCCTGTGTCTTAACGTGAGTGTTGCATATGCAGCTATTTATTGTTATTCTTTAATTCTACTCCTGAGTATTTAGTCTGGAGAACTTCTTGCACTTACAGAGATACATTGTATATTCTTTTATATGTATATGGTATCTTTTGAATTTCTAAAATTATTCATTCTCTGTTGATGACAAGAATGAGATAGACACATGTGTACTGACATGGAGAAAATGTTCAAGGCATATTAAATGACAAGTATGTTGTAGAACTCTATAGTATAATTTTAATTCAAAATAATTTTAATTAAAATACTGATTTTTCCATAGAAATAAATCTGAATAATATTTACTAAATGTGAACACTAGTTATTTCTGTGATGGTTTTCATTTCAAAATTGTACATTTCTATATTGTTTTAATGTTTTCCAATAACCTCACTCACTTTTTTTTTAAAAAAAGATTTATTTATTTATTTGAAAGTCAGAGTTATAGAGAGTCAGAGAGAAAGAGAGAGAGAGAGAGGGAGGTCTTCCATCCACTGGTTCACTCCCCAAATGGTCGCAATGGCTAGAGCTGGGCCAATCCAAAGCCAGGATCCAGAAGCTTTCTCCAGGTCTCCCATGCAGGTGCAGGAGCCCAAGACTTGGGCCATCTTCTACTGCTTTTCCAGGTCATAGCAGAGAGCTGGATAGGAAGTGGAACAGCCGAGACTTCAACCAGTGCCCTTATGGGTCACAGATGACATCTTCACCAAGCCACAGCTCTGACCCCGAAAGATTATTTTTCTATACATAAAAAACTGTTTAAAATAGAAGAATACTTGTTCTGGAAAGAGCTCCCTGATGACCCCCAGATCCTGTAAAAGACAATCTGTGAGGGCAGGAAGTTCAAATGGGAAGGGCTCCAGACTCTTCAATGGGGGAAGAGTGCAAGGGCCTGGTCAGTCCCTCGGCTCAGCCCCCAGCAGACTTGCTTGCTCCCTGTCAGTCTCCACCCTGGCTCCGGAAGCACCAAGGTCTTGGGCAGCTGCCCGTTAGTCCCGCCCCCCTGTTCCAGGTCCCCAGCTCACTGAGCAGCTGGCAGCGTCCTGACTTTCTGAAGATTCCTGTTAACGGAGGGAAGACCTGGTGAGGCCAGAGCAAGGGACACAGGTGGGAAGCGATCAGGGCAGAAGTGTTGGGGGCTATGGAGAGCTGTGAGATCTGGTGCTGAGCCAGCCAGTGGGCTGCCTTTTCTTCTTCTAGCCTCTCAAATTCTCTGCTGCAGGTGGTGGGGGCGCTTGGGCTTGGAAAGGCATGAAGAGGAAGGTGTTCTGTGGCCCAGAAGAAAGGTCTGCTCATCAAGGGCAAACAGTCCAGGTTTTTGTACATGCTGCAGTCTCTGCCTACAATTCCTTTCCATTTTGTCCTGGCTACTTTCTATTCCTTCTTCACATCTGCAGTTTTGACGCACTTAGAAACTTTCCCCAACACACATCACCTCATCTCTACTACTCTGAGGAGAGGTTCAAGGAGTCTGTTTCTACAGCCTGTGGCTTCCCTTATCTGTCTCTGCTAGTAGCCCTCTTACTGGTCTAACTCTCCTACTGGGATTTAAGCTTCTGAGGTTAGGTACTATGATTGTTTTGCTCACCACTGTTATCTCTAGCACCCAGATACTCCATGATATGCATGTTTGCTATATCTCAGAAAATGTTATCTGGATGAATAAAATGAAGGAATGGCAGAGAGGGCAAGAGAATAGGGAATCCTTGCATTTGGCTCATGTGGTTCTCAGCAGCAAAGGGGAGGAGCCTTCCGGGCAAGGGAAAGGAGCGCCAAGTTTTATCCTCCCTATTCGCTTGAGCTCCCTCTACCGGCCAGACTTCAGAGCTGCAGGGAGCCAAGCCCGGGTACTCTTACCTGTTGAGACCTACCCATTCCCCAATGCCGGAGTTCTCCAGGGACAGAGTATAAAAAGAAAACAGGGCTGCTCGGTACACTGGAGGTTTCCAAGGCCTAACCCTGCACTTCCCCCTCCTCAACAACAGGTGCACTTCCTTCATACCCTCACCTCATGCTGAGTTTCCTGGGGTCTTCGCTCCCAGATTCTTTTTCCAGCTAATTCACGGAGATGTTGATTTCTGGAGCCTTTGGCTGGTACATCAGTTCTGACTGTGGAAAAGAGATTCCAGGCTGGGTCAGGAATAGATAGACAAATACAGAGAAAAAGACATGCATTGAGGAAGGGACCCAGTGATAGACTGTAAAGCCCCAGCAAGACAAAACAAAAATCAGGTTTGAGGAAGAAAGATTGCCCTCACCCTCTACTCTGCCTGTGTCAGTACAAAGCTAAGGGGACTCGTGCTGATCAGATCTTCAGGTTTCATGGAGATAACAGACTTGAGGGACAGCTTCTGGACAAGAGGGCTCTCCCTACCCCCACCCCGTTCCTCCCAAGAGGGCCTAGCTGGGAACTCACATCTTCGCTGTCACTTCCGCTGAAGGAATGCCCCGGCTCCAGCCCCTTCTCAGGGACATTCCTCTCCTCCTCTGGCATCAGCTCATCCAGCCAGAGGAGTTCCTGGGGTGAGAAGACCCACTCCAGTGCCTTTCGGACCCCCACCAGGCCCAGCAACTGCAGGAATAGCAACAACACAGAGCCATCAGCAACTACAGCAGGAACACAACAGGAACATCTGTCGAGCACGTCTGACATGCTAGGCATTATGGGTCATCTCACGGAAGGCTAACACATTCCTATGAGGTAGACGGAACATTCCCATTGCACAGAGGAGGACACTGAAGCCGTGGGTGGCTAGTACCTTCCCAGAGGTCACACAGCTGGCACGTGAGAACCAGACTGGTCCTGCTGCAAAGCCGATGGCTCTTAACTTCCTCAGTGAGTAAGAACACAGACAGACGCCACCTGCATCATCTGCTCCCTGAGTAGCACGAGTGTCAGAACTGCCTTTCTCCCGGGATTCAATTTTCTTCTGGGTTTTATACTCCTACTTATGGTTCATCAGCCCAAACAAGTTGGGAAAGGAGGTAAATCATCAATCCTAGGAGGAGCCCTTCTATGGGTATCCATCAGCCATCTTTCGTCATCTTAGGATTTCCAACCAGGCAGAGCCAGGACAAGTGAGAGGGGGAGATTCTCCCTGGCCACTTCCCAGACTCAGAAACTTTCAGGAACCCCCAGGACAGCCTGCCCCAAGTCACCATGAGGGGGAAGATGATGGCCGCAGGGGTAGACTTGATTATCCAAAGCAGACCCAGGCAGGCCAGCTGAATGGCTGTGAAGAGGTGGACCCTGCTCAGAGGCACATGCCGCAGGAGCAGCAGGTCTGGTTGGTGTTTTGCTGGCATCAGCATTAGCTGCACTCTCTTCATGAACTGGGAAAAGAGGAAGAGGAATGAGGAACTCAGGTAGCCTGGAGGGTGTCACTGCCAGCTCCCCAGCCCAGGATGGGGATGCAGGGAGGAACAGAAGGCCCTAAAGTCTCTTTCCCAACCAGAATGTGGGGCAGAGTCTCTGCACGGAAGCAGGGAACATGGACGGCAGAGGAATTGGCAAGTGTAGGCAGGAGGTGCTGGCCAGCGGCAATGAAGAGGAGTTGGGGTGCTGGGTGATTTCAGTGGGCTCACCTGGATGCTGCTGAGCGCTGCCACCCCCATGTACAGGAAGATGCCGTAGAGCACAGGCATTGGGATGAACTGGAAGAAAAGTGAAAGCTGCCATAGGAGTTTACCACCCAGAGGCCCCACCTTAGGCTCCAACCGCAGCCGTCTAACAGCCGGCATCTGAGCCTGACCAGGCCTTGCCTTTCCTTTCCCACGTTGCATACCTGATCTCACTGAATCTACATATCTATCGAATGAGGTTGATTCTATTACTGCTCCATTTTACAGATTCAGAGATAGAATTTCAAAGAGACTAAGTAACCTGCCCATTACCTGGCCTACCTCTTCAATCTTGTTACCTTCCCTCTGATCTTTATGCTGCTAGTACGCTAGGAGCTCCTGTTCCTTCCCTCAGCAAACAAGTCCACATCTGTTGCTGCCCCTTGCATGGCCTTTGCCATTCTCCTCACCTAAAATGCCCTTCTCCACACCTCCACACGGCCACTTCCCTCTAAACACGCACGCCTCATCCCGTGACACTCCAGAAAGGTGGGAGTGCTGACCCCTGGCACTCTTCATCGCCAATGCCCTTTCACATCTTACAGAACTTACTATCTGAAGTTATCCTTGATTTAAATTTGCAAACAGTCTGCTTCTTTTCACCAGACTACAGAGATGAAGGCCTGATGTCTTTTGATCACCACTACATTCCCCAGTGCCTGGAATGCTGCGTGGCTTATGGCTTATGCTCGGTAAACATGTGCTGACTGAGAGCCGCCCAGTCTGTAAGTGGCTGATCCAGTCTATCTGGCTCCTACTCTTCCACTCTCACCCAGGTTCCGTGACCTTTCCCTCCCCTAACTTCTTGCCATCTGCCGGCGATTCTTGTCTGCCATTCTCCACACTCTTGACTGCATTGCTGTCGTGGCTTGTTGAATCTTTATGCTAATACTTACTACTTACTTTCTGATTGTGTTTCTGCTAGGGGCTTGGTGCCACATTCCTTTGCAGTACTTCCCTGCCCCCTCACTGCTCACAGTCTTGTGCACACTGTAGAGTTCCAGTGAAGGACTAGTCAAGGGTTGCTGGAGTGTGATGATCACACTCTCAGTCTCTTACTTGGACAGTGCTTAGACCCCAGGGGATGGTGGTGGCACGTCCACACCCTGCTCTGCTGGGTAGAAAGAATCTGGGTTCACAGGTAGATCTCAGAAGCTGGCTCTTACAAGTTACTTTACCTCTTTCACTTCAGGATCCTCAAATGCCTCTCTGGGTTAATTTGAGGATTCCATGAGACCATGTATGGAAGAAACCCTAACACAGTGCCTGGCACACAGTAAATGTTCAGAGTGTGTCAATTCTTGCTGTATCTATCATTTTAACTTCATGGTCCCTAACCCCAGCCTGGAAGAGGGGTACCTTGAGCACAGGTGCCAGGAAGATGGAGACTCCTGTGAGGGTGAACACCGCCAGGCCTGTCAGCCTCTGCTCCCTGTGAGGAGAAAGAGGGGTTTCCTGGAAGCTGGGTGAGGCTCTAGGGCCCCCAGGCTGGAGACAGCACCACTCGGACCCTGCAGCCAGAGGAAAGTAGAGGGATCCCCTGATAGGCGGGGAAAGGACCTTGTCTTGGTGTGAAACACTGGTAAAGGGGAAGGTGCAGAGCATTCAATGTGAGAGTCCCAGGCCTCCCGCAGTTCAAGTCCATGTGGAAAATCAATAATGTTACACCGCCATGAAGACTTACATATCACCACTTGCAAAGCTGATTTCTTATACTTTAGACAGATCGTGTTTCCAACAGTTACAAAGCTGTTGTGTAATGGATTCCTTTGTAACATCAATGATGTGATTCTACATTGAATGGGGATTATTAGGTAGTACCTCACCCTCCGCTTCAGCCCTGACTGCCTCCACCCTTGTATCTTGAGTCCCTCCCAGTCCCCATGGCTGCAGGAGGAGAGGACACATTAGATCTCACCTCGGAGCCCAGAACCCACCCACTTACCTGCCACAGAGCTCATGGGGTGCCTACAGCTCAATGAGCTGCACCAAGAACTCTGCCATGTACCCCACCACCCTACCTTGCTGCCCACCTCTCACTGCAGCCTCACCTGATGCCCAGGAAGCTGTGGGGCTCCCCAGGGGCACAAGCTCGGCTCTCCCTCCGAAGACTGTCCATGTGGGCCAGGGAGAGGACAGTGGCTGAGACATACCATGGCAGCCCGAGCACTGAAGTGAGCAGCATCAGCAGCGCCACACAGAAGAGGTCCAAGTGGAAGCCAGCTCCCTTCTGCAGGAAGTGACAGGAATAATGAGGATGAGGCTAGCCCGGTCTGGGTCCTCTGTCCTCTGGGGTGGGTGAGGGGGAGCCCAGAACCTGCCAGGGAGCTTCTTCCCCTTGGTCTGGGCCAATAGGCCTTACCCGCAGTCTGTATTCCACACGGTTGAGGATGACTGCTGTGATCTGCTGGTCCATGAAGATGAGGATTGACAGCAACAGCGCAGGCAGGGCAGCTGCCACACTCAGCCACCAGGGGTTGGCTCCAAAAGGTGGCACCAGCCAGCCACGGCCGGGGAGTGTGGGCTGGAGGAAGAAATTCCGTGGCCAGGTTGGAGAGGGTCACCCAAGAATACCTCATCTGTACACCCCAAATTCCACACCTCATTGCACCCCCTGGCTCAAGACCCTGGATGCTAGGTAGGCACAGTGTTTGTGCTTGTGTGTGCACACACGTGCATGTGCATAGTTAGCTCAAAGCATCTTGGTGCCTTCAAAGGAGGCAGAGGAAGGAGACTAGCCTGGGTGTTGGGGTCTCTCTCTGGAAGAGGAGGAGGTGGATGAGGGCCACACGTCTTGATATACAAGGCCCTCCTCCCTAGATGCCCCCCCATTCAGGGTGGGGCAACCCAGGCTCAGACTTGCCTTGATCTGGGGCAGGGGCAGGGCTGGGTGTGTCTGCGTCTGCTCTGATTATAGGCGTCTGTGTGGGGGAGGGAGCTCCAGTTGCTGCTTCAGGTTCTGAGCCCCCAAGGCTGCCCCAGTTGGAGCCCCCCTGCTCTCCTGTCTTGGTGAAAGTTGGAGGTCTCCAAATGGACACTCTAGGATTCAGCTAGGCCTTGTCTTGCAGAGTCATGGCCTGGGGAGAGAGCTCCAGCTTTTTGGAATCAGAGCAGACAAAGAGGGGTACAGAGAAGAGAGTGGGGAGTAGTGAAATGGGAGGACTCAGAGCAATAGATAATATTTATTGAGGAGTACCGCACTATGCTCTCCTGTAAAACTCAAAAGAACCTGTGGTGGAAGAATGACTGTGACTCCTTCCTTCCATTTCATAGATGGAGAAACTGAGGCTCAGAAAGATGCATTCTAGGAGGTGGCAGAACTGGAACTCAGATCCAGGGCTGGCTGACCAGAGCCACCCTCTCAACCCCACCCTCTATATGATAGTAGTGATGCAGTGTTCTGTACTCACTTATGTCTCTGTGTCTGTCTCAAACGATCCTCACCATGACTCTGAGGCCATTATTATTTTACTTCTATTTTATAAATGAGTAAAGAAGCTTAGAGGAGTGGGTGTGTGGGATTTATGCATCTTCCTCCTCTAGGGTCTGCTGGCCCTGTTTTCCTCACTGCTCTGCACCCCTGTTCTTCCCCACACACACACACCACCTCCTTACCTTGAACTCTCTGGGCACCATGAGCTTTGGCATAGCCAAGCCCAGGAGGGCATCAAGTCCACAGCCCAGCAGGATGGCCAGGATGGAGGAAAAGTCGCTGAGCACCTTGCGTACCTGGCCACGCAGGGGACATCCAGTCAGGGTCAGGCCTGCCTTCCCTGCCTCCCACACCCTTTCCCATTTTCAACCAGGATTCAAGCCCAAGCACGAGGCTTCTCCCCCAGAAAAAAAGGGACACTCACCACAGAGGGGAAGAAGCGGCTGGTCTTCATATGCTTGAGGGCAATGGCAAAGAGGAAGGAGGTAAGGAAGAGGAGAAGGGAGAAGAAGGCGATGTCGGGGACTGTATGACAGCCAGGGCCACGTGGATAGCCGCCCTGCTGGACACACTCGTGTGGAGGCAGCAGGGATGCATTGACCAGGCCTAGGTCCTGTGTGGAGGGGTGGTCAGGGTTGGGGTTATGGGCAGTGAAGTATAAGTTCTGCTCTCCTGGACCCCGCTTAAGGGAAGGGGGACCAGCAGGGACATCAGAGGCCCCAGGTGGGAGGTCCCCAGCTCAGTGACCCCTGAGAGTTTCCCTCACCTATGGGGTGGGGAGACCAGGAACCACTGACTGCTTTTGCCCCCAGGCTTTTTTCCCCAGGCCCTCACCACGCTTAAGAGGTCATCTCTGCTTTGTGGCCTTGGCCTTGTCCACTGCGACTCATTTCCTGGAAAGCAGAGAAGAATGTGTGTATGTGTGTGTGTGTGTGTGTGTGTGTGTGTGTTCCCCTGGGGACCTTCTCAGGTCCCACGGGATTCTAATCGGAGGGGTCTAGCTGAGCCAGAGCATTCCACATTCTAATTCATCTGTCTGCCACCTCCACTGCTGTCCAGTGTGTGCTCTCTTCTTGATATCACCTCCTGCCCTCATCCCCTCAAACTCTCTGCCTGTCTGTTCCCCTGAGCACAGGACCTGGCCGCAGCAGATGCTGAGCAAGCGCTAGCTGAGTGCTCAGGCCCAGCAGAGTCTGCATTAGAGGATGCTTCCTCCCCAGTCCCATTGTGGCCGTCCACTTGAGTATAACATCCCAAGTGTCTGTCCACCGGGTCAGTCACTCTCCTAGGGGACAGGGACTGATTTATTTAATTGGGGGGTTTGGGAGATGAAGCCGGGCATGGCCAATCCTGCCCTCTCCTCTCCCCTCTCTTGGGAGTAAGCTGCCTGCCTAGTGCATGCATTTAGCTCTGCTCCTCTGTGGCAAGACATTCCTGTCCAGTGTTGCCATGACAGAGTGTACAAATCTATCTAATTTTGGCTTAATATTTAGAAGCCCATTCACCTCTAGGCATGATTCTAGAAGTGTTCTTCTTTCTGTGTTGTTAGAAGTAAACATGACATTTTTTATTGTTATTTTCTTTCTTATTTCTCAATTGATTCAGAACCAGAGCAGGCAAGAGTACTGCTGCTTACTGGGTGAGTAGTTTCCTTCACCTACCTCCTGGGCCTGGGAATTGACAGAGGCAGCCATAGGCAAGGGACCCAGGCCTTTGGATGGGATAGGCATGGGCCAAGTTCAGCATTTTGCCCACAGCATCGTAGATGAAGATGAGGCTGATGAGGGCACAGAAACCTTCCTCAGTGAAGCGGGTGAAGTAACGCACCAGCACGCTGGCCTCTGTGGCTACCAGTGCCAGGCAAAAGACGGCCACCCAGATGCCCACCCACAGGCGAAAGGGCAGGTAGTCCAGGCTGTAATCTCTGTGGGGGTGAGAGACAAGCAGGGCTCGGCAGGGCTGTCTGTGCCCCCACCTAACCCAAGTTAGGGGACCCAGAAGCCAGACAACCTCTCCTCTTGTCCCAGCCAGGGCCAGACTGAGAATGTGGCTAGTGCGGCCCTGGCGAGGTGGCGGGGTTCTCCTACCTGCAGAAGGCAAAGAGCAGGCGCTCAAAGACGAGCACTGGCCCGGTGCTGCTGAGGACGGTGAGAGGCTGGCCTGCCATGAGGCAGAAGGCAGCTCCAGCCACCGCTGTGCCCAGGAGACTCTCCAGCACTCCCTGGAAGCCAACAGGGACTCAGCACAGGACCCCGGAGGCCCAGCATGGGAGTCCCAGCTTCCAGGAGTCTCTTCAACATCCAAGGGCACTCCAACAAAGCTTATACCTGCCCCCTCCCTCCACAACCCACCTGGGCACCATCCGTGGCATCTCCCAGGAGACCCCCAAAAGTGATGGCATTAGTGACGGTAGCCAGGTAAATGTAGAGCACAGCTGAGACACACTGGGGGTGCAGGGCATCCGAGAAATCGCTGGGGTACCACGAGGCTTTCCGGCGCACGTCCTGGACAAGGCCCCCAAAGAGCCTCCCACCCAAGGGTCGTCAGTGATCCCAGTTCCCACACCTACCCCCACATCCCCTCCCACAGTGAGCAACCTTGGCCACCCTCTGGCTTCTCCCCACCCCCACCCCACCCCACCAAAACCACACGCAGCCAGCAGGACCCCAGCCCATGATCCCAGCCAGCTCACCTCACCTGCCCGTCCGCTGCAACTCTGGGCTTGGTGCAAGTGGCCCATTTCGGTGCCTGTCCTCTGCCTGGGTCCTATGTGGGACAGAGAGGCCCTTGACCTTCTGCAGGTGCAAGGGTGGCCTGAGGAGAAGGAGACCCCTAAGTTGGCAAAGGATCTCCAACCCCTCGGCGACCCCGCTCAGAGCTCCTGGCGCCCTGCCCCTCAGTGTTGGGGGAGGCCTGGCTCTGACCTCGGACGTGTGGCATCAAGGTCATATAGTGCCCGGGGGGAGGAAAGCCAAGCTCCCACAGTAGAGTGAAGCCATTTGTTCAGATCTCATGGTGAGAGTGGATGCGCCGAACTTAGAATTATGCCTGCCTGACTTCTAATCCAAAGCTAGATCCCTATCTTTCCTAGGACCCCAGCCCTCCTCAACAGTGGCACTGAGCCAGAGGCTGTGGGGAAGGGTCTGTAACAGAGGGTGGTAGCCCCTACATACCTTTTGTGCCGAGAGGGCAGACACCTGGGAGGGGGAATCCGGGCTGTCGGGTCCCACCTGCCAGGGGGCAGCACAGTAACCTCCTCCAGGAAGGCATCCAGGGCTGTGAGGAGGTCATGAAGGTTGCTGGCCCGACGAACTGACCACTGGAAGTGCTGGGTTTAGGGGCATGAATGGGTGGTACATGCATTTTCACAGTGTGTGACACAAAACCGAATACACACAAGACACATAAGCAGACAAGCCTTGCCTGCATGCACGCATCCATGCATTCACTCACTCAGTCAATTGTATCTGTTGAGTGTGACAGCAGTGGATCAGCAGCAGGACTGCACTGGCTAAGGAAATTGCAGTCCCCGTGCTATGGACACAAGGCAGCCACACTGCCTTGCTGCAGAGTCCACGCACATGCAGGCATGCCTGCCGTACTCACCGGGTCACTGAGGAGGACAGCTGCCGCCCGACCCAGCTCGTGGTAGCCTTTTCCCAGCATGGGAGGACCCAGGAGGAGACAGAAAAACCTGAGCAGGGGAGCGGGCCACAGGCAGGGTCAGAGGCTGCTTCCCCATGGGGCAGCCCTGCCCTTCCTGATCTGTGTCCTCCCAGCCCGCAGGTACACAGGCACGTGCACACCCACCCAGCAGCACCGCCCCTGCTCCTGCAGACCCCACGCATCCTCAGAGCTGGACCCGGAGACCTCCAATCCCCTTTCCAACAGAGGCTCTTCTTTGGGGCTCCACGTCCCCCAACTCCCACTCAGCCTCACCTGCTAGGGAGGGGCACCTCAGTGAGGGGCCCCAGCCACACGGGATCCCGGAGTCGCACGAAGGCTGCCAGTGGCTGTGCCAAGAAGCCCAGCTCTCCTGCCAGGACAGCCCCTGCCTCGGCCCCCGGAGGCAGCTTCTGTCTCAGGGGGCTCTGACACTGGGATGGGGGTGGAGTTCAAGGAGACACAGAGTACACAGGAGAGGTTATTTGGAGAGGGGAAGTTGGCAGGATCTCAACTGACAAGGGGTCCGATCCTATGTTCCTAACCCTCTCCCAGCCCTGCCCAAGACAGGGCCACTAACCTGTTGCTGCATGGGGGCTTCCTTGTTGTGAGCAGCCTTCCTTGACTGGGCAGGTCCTAGGAAGCAGGATTAGGCAGTGATCACTAGCACAGGCTTTGGGGGTGGATCCACCGGGCTCCCTGGCCAGCTTTGCCCCTGACAAACTGTAAAAACTGGAGCACATCTCACCCTCTCTGAGCCTCAGTTTTCTCATCACTAAAATGGGAATAATTGTGCTACAGCCTTCCAGGGTGGTTTTGAAGACTAAATGAGATTCCTGGCACCGTGCCTAGGTTATGATTCTGTCCTGCTCTCTCCTTTCCCTGACCTCCAACATTACCCACCAGCTTCCCTGGCCCATGAGTCCCATGTGGAGAGGTCGGAGCCAAGGCTAGACCACTCTTGGCCCTGGAAGGTGCAGAGAAGATCTGGGACCCCCTCCCCACCCAGGGAGGGGCCTCACCCCAGCAGGGCCTGGAGCCTGTGGTCTGGGTATGATGCTGGGGTCTCTGTAGCAGCAAAGCCTGCAGCTGCCCCCTCAGCTCCGGGCTCAGCGACTCCACCCTGGTCACCTGCTCTGGAGAACAGACGTGGAACTTGAACTCCTTCCTGAGAGTCTCCTGCTCCCACACCCTCCTCCTCCCCTCTCTGCCCAGGCCCCTTTCCCTTCTGGGAGCGCAGGGAACTCAGGGGCCAGGCAACTTCCCCTCGGCTTTTCCACTTCTAGCCTGTGACAAGGGTGGACAGCCCCTCAGCTGGGCGGGGTATAGCAGACTCCAGAAGATTCCCAGACTCTGGGGGCAATGGCACAGCAACCCAGGCCCTCTCTGCAAAGGCTCCCAGCTTACCCACAAGCTCCAGGAGGTTCTGAGCTGGACAGTCCAGCAGGACAAGGCCCTCGGCCAGCAGGCTTCGGAGATTCTGGAGGCTCGGCAGCGCCAGGGTGGGCACGTGGGGGGCGCTCCAGCGGCCTGCATCCACCTCCAGCTTCTCCTCAAACAGCACCCACCTGTGGGGGGGCAGCGTTTGCAGGGCTATCTTTCCCACATCCAAGAGGAGGGGGACCCAGGGGAGCCAGGGAAAGCTAAGCAGTGGAAGTCCTGGGCCCTGTGGTGCAGGTCTCCCACTCCCCAGGCGGTTGCCCCTCATCTTGGTCTTGGGGAACTCAAAACCAGGCCATAGAGGATACTGAGCACCATGGAAGGCGAGGCCCTGAAGCAAGGGAACACCGAGAGGAAGATCCTGATTTTGGGTGGGAAGGAGCCCCCCCAGGAGGAGCTGTGGTCAGGGAGGAAGCCCCAGCTTGGGGGAGAAGACGCTCTAGTACCAGCCCAGGGTCACTCACCTGCCCATCTCCCTCCACTCCAGTGTCTGGGGCCAGCCCAGCAGCTCATTCAGCTGGAGGAAGAGTGGAGGGTCCTCAGGAGGCCCCAGTTCCCTGCTGCCTGTGTCTGAGGGGTCATCAGGGCAGGGGCCAGAGCTGGGGCCGCTGTCCAGCTGTCCCACAGGCACATTTTCACAAGCACAGGCGGCTTCCAGCTCCTCCTGACCTGGCAGCTTCATGCTGGGAGCGGCACAGCTCTGGGGGCCCTCTGGCTGGCTGTATTTATCATGCACCCCCCCCCATCACAGCACAACACAAACAGAGCGAGACCTGCTGGCTCCAGAGCCTACCGGGTCACCTCTCCCCTCTTTGCTCCCCCAAACTGCGGCCCGCCTGAGAGTGTTTGCAAGGCTAGCCTGGCCTTTCCCAGGAGCTCCAGAAATGCCCAGCCTGGGGCCAAAGTATGTGCCCATTTCCTGTAGGATCAGGTCTGACCTTGCTGTGTTTTATGTAAATAAAGAGGAATAGATGGCTACCTTGTGTCTCAGGTCTGACACCCAACCCCTCCACATTATCACTGCCCCCGGCCTGTATCAAATACAAACACCCAACACCAGCAGTGTTTTGGGTGTCACCAGCACATGCAGGGCCACAGACACAGGCATGTGGACAAAGACCTAATATACTAAACAACCACGTCTGCGGAAGCCAGGCTGGGTAAGGGAGACAGCAGGTAGAGACCCTGCCCTTTGAATGGGATAATGATAGAAACGGAGGTAGTTTATGAAGAGCACCATGCCGGAGTCTTTGATTCCTTGGTACCACAACACTCAGAAACCTCCCAATTTGGCTAGTTCCTGGGGTCTACCTTTTTTTTTTTTTTTTTTTTTTTTTTTTTTGACAGGCAGAGTTAGTGAGAGAGACAGAGAGAAGGGTCTTCCTTCCATTGGTTCACCCCTCAAATGGCCGCTACAGCCAGTGCGCTGTGGCCTGCACACTGTGCCGATCCAAAGCCAGGAGCCAGGTGCTTCCTCCTGGTCTCCCATGCAGGTGCAGGGCCCAAGCACTTGGGCCATCCTCCACTGCCCTCCCGGGCCACAGCAGAGAGCTGGACTGGAAGAGGGGCAACCGGGACAGAACCGGCACCCCAACCAGGACTAGAACCTGGAGTACCCGCACTGCAGGTGGAGGATTAGCCTAGTGAGCCATGGCACTGGCCAGGGGTCTGCCTTCTAACTGAACCCCCCCAGTGAGGGTGGAAGAAGCAGTGTGTGTGTGTGTGTGTGTGTGTGTGTGTGTGCAGGACTTTCTGGAACTAAACGAGCAAAGGAGAATGTGGTCCCTTAGCAAGTTCGAGTTCTGTTGGCTCTACCTTTAACATAAACCCAGAATCCAACCGGATCTGCCGTCCTCAAGGCCACCAGCACAGCTCCCCTGAATGGCTTCCACAACCCCCCAGTTACCTGCAGGAACCTCCCTGCCTTCACTCTTACTCCCTTGCTTCAAGTCCAGCCCCCACACGGCAGCCTTACAGGTCCTTCAAAAAGGCAATTGAGGGGTGGGCCTTCAGCACGGTGGTCAGGTCTCCACTCGGGACGCTTGCACCCTTTATTAGAGAGGCTGGGTTTGAGGTCTGCCTCCATTTCTGATTCCAGCTTCCTGGAATGACTCAAGTAATGAGGTCATGACTCAAGTGCTTGGGTCCCTGCCACCCAACTAGGAGGCCTGGATTGAGTTCCTGGCTTCTGGCTTCTGGCTTCTGGCTTTGGCTTGGCCCAGCCCTGACTGTTACAGGCATTTGGGAAATGAATGGAAGATTTCTCTTCTCTCTCCCCATCACTCAGCCTTCCAAATAAAAAGAAAACTAAAAAAAAAAAAAAAAAAAAAAAAGACAATTGAGCCACGTTACTTTGTTCAAAACTCACTATATGCTCATTTGACCTGGAAGAAAAATCAAACTCAGCGCCACGCCTGGCCCGAACACCTCTCTGAACTATCCCAAACCTTTCCCCCCTGCTCAATCCTTTCCAGCCGCACAGGGCAAAGGCTGTGCTGGCCAATGGTCTTTGCAGTAGCCACTCTCTCTGCAAAGAAAGCTGCTCCCCGGATTCTCCCAGGACCGGAACCCTGTCACCACGTCTGATGTCAGAAGTCACCTACTCAAGGAGCCCTGCCTTTTCTGTCTGTTTCCCTCTCTCCAGCACATTTCTGTTTGTCTTTCTAGCAGTTATCACTACTAGCAACTGGTTCGTTTTATTTGTTTGTCATTTATTGCCTGGCCCTTCACACACTGGCACTGGGATGTCCTGCTCAGGTATCTTATCTGCCTTGGCCTGGAGCTGCGCCTGGCACGCAGTGTCTCTCACTCAATAAATACTTGTTCGATGAGCGCATACAAAGAAAGCATCTGGGAAAGGAGCCGCGCTTCTCGTGGGGGCCACACGAGGGCGCTGCCCTCCACGACCGGATCGCTGGAGCCGCTCCCTTAGACCCTGGCACCGAGATGGCGACAGGGACAGAAGGGGTTCTTCCTTGGTCCTTCCCCTTGCCCTGGCGCACCGCGGACTGGTCCCGAGATGCAGGGAGGGGCGGGGTGCGTGTGGAAGGGCAGCAGGATAGGGAAGGGAGGGCCAATCAGACTCATCTGAATGTGGGTCAACCCCCACGACCACCCCTAAGAAATGGGTCCCAGACTGGCCCTCCCCACCGGGTCCGGCCCAGGGTCAGAGTTAGAGAAGTGAGTCACCTTGTCACCCGTTGGGGAGGGCGCTGAGTCTGAGGGAGGCGTTGTTTCCGTCCCAGGAGAAACAGAAACCGGTCCAGAGCATGAAAGGGCCGGGGAACCCCTCGTGACCATTGCCGACAAGAATGCGCTCCGACCTTAGGAAAAGTGACTCACACAGCCTGAGGGGCTCGGCACGGGTAGCCCCTCCCCCCACTCGATCCCCCACCCCCGCGCCCTCACCTGTGCTCCCTCCCCCAGCCCGACCTGCCGAGGAGCAGGGGTCTGCGCCTGGCCTCTCTGCGGCTCCACCTTCCCTGAGCTGGGCATGCCGGTGCCAGCGGCACAGTGGTCTGTCAGTCAGGGCCCAGAAAGACGCGGCAGGTGGGCGCAACGCCCGGGTCTCAGCCCGGTTTGGCCACGGGATTACTGCGTGTGCTGCTGCAAGGCCTTTCCCCGCTCCCTGCCCCAGCCGGTTGGGGTGGACGATGCCCCAGGTTCCAAGCACACCTTTGTGCAGCGTGGCTGGGAACCGGCCGGCCGCGGGTCAGGCCTGGCTTGGGTTACTCTCCAGCCAAGGGCAGAAGAATTATCCTTTGCCAAAGCTGAGTTTTCTCATAAGCAAAAGGGAACAAGCAGCAGCACTCTCTTCCTAAGCTTCATCCCATGAAACAATGCGTTTAGTAACCCACACAGGAGAAAGGAGGCTGCTCCCTCCCGGAGCGGGAAGAGGAGGAGCTACTGCACCCAAGAGGCCTTCAAAAGGGGGGGGGGGGGGACGACCGCCGCCTTGGCGCAGTAGGCTAATCCTCCGCCTGTAGTGCCGGCATCCCGAATGGGCTCCTGTTTGAGTCCCGGCTGCTCCACTTCCCATCCAGCTGGCCTGGGAAACCAGTGGAGGATGACTTAAGTCCTTGGGCCCCTGCACCCACGTGGGAAACCCGGAAGAAGCTCCTGGCTCCTGGCTTCGGATCAGCGCAGCTTCCGCCCTTGCGGCCATCTGGAGGAGTGTACCAGTGGATAGAACACCTCTCTCTCTGCCTCTCTGTAACTCTTCATTTCAAATAATAAGTAAATAAATAAAATAAAAGGTTAACTAAATGGGGTCCTGACACTTTGGCATAGTAGGCTAGGCCTCTCTCTGCTGCTCCCTCACCCCATTTGGGCACCGGTTAGTGTCCCAGCTGCTCCTCTTCTGATCCAGCTCTCTGCTATGGCCTGGGAAAGCAGAGGAAGATGGTCCCTTGGGCTCCTGCACCCATGTGGGAAATCTGAAAGAAGTTCCTGGCTCCTGACTTCGAATGAGCTCAGCTTTGGCCATTGTGGCCATTTGGGGAGTGAACCAGAGGATGGAAGACTTTTCCAGAAGATGGAAGACTTTTCTCTCTGTCTTTCCCTCTCTCTGTAACTTTGCCTCTCGAATAAATAAATCTTTTTTTTTTTTAAAGTTAACTAAATGACAGACATTACTCAGATTCACACATCCAAATTTATTATATGTATAGATAACAGGCTGGGGAAATTGTTCAATCTCATTAAGCCTTAGTTTTCTTTTCTTTTCTTTTTTTTTTATGATTTATTTGAAAAGCAGAGTTACAAAGAGGCAGAGGCAGAGACAGAGGTCTTCTATTCCCTGGTTCACTCCCCAGATGGTCTCAACGGCCCGAGCTGTGCTGATCCAAAGCCAGGAGCCAGGAGCTTTTTCCGGGTCTCCCACGTGGGTGCAGGGGCCCAAGGACCTGGGACATTTACTGCTTTCCTAGGCAACAGCAGAGAGCTGGATCGGAAGTGGAGCAGCTGGGACTTGAACCAGAGCCCATTCGGGATGCTGGCACTGCAGGTGGCGGCTTTACCAGCTGTGTCACAGTGCCGGCCCCAGTTTTCTCATTTATAAGTGGGGTGACATCACTTACCTTCCTCAGATAACTGTCATGAGAATTACAAACAACTTTTGTAAAGTGCTCAGAGTAATACCTAAATTGCAGTGAGAAGTCAATAAATTTAAGCTATTTTTAAAAAAAAGCATGTTTTTAAGTTATTTTAAATACCTTTAAAATGCCTGTTAGAAAAATGTCCATCAGAGTAAAAATAACATAAAATATCTTTCATAGTGTCCTTACCTAAAAATAGCCAGTTCATAATTTTGTTCAAAATTTGAGGCGGATTTCATTAGCCCCACTTCCCTAGCAAACACCCGAGGCTCATACCCTCGAGGCAGTTTGCCTGGCAGCAAGCTTGTGAGGGAGGAGCTGAGGTTCAGGGTGCTCCCCAGCCTGCAGGGGCTCCCTGTGAGGGAGGCTGACAGGTGCAATTGGCTGACAATCATGGGTGGACCCAGGTGAGCCTCGGCTGCCAGCCAAGCCCCTGCTTTGTTCTGAGCACTGCCTTAGACCCTTCGAGGGTTATCTCAGTGACTCTTCACAGTAGCCCTGTGCTACGGATCCTTTTTCACTTCTTTTTTTTTATTTTTAAGATTTATTTTATTTGTTTGAAAGAGTTAAAGAGAGGGAGAGACAGAGAGAAAGGGAGAGACAGAGAGAGAGAGAGAGGTCTACTATCCACTAGTTCACTCCCCAAATGGCCACAACAACTGAGCTGTGCTGATCTGAGCTTCTTCTGGGTTTCCCACGCGGGTGCAGGGGCCCAAGAACTTGAGCCATCTTCTACTACTTTCCCAGGCACATTAGCAGGGAAGAGGAGCAGCGGGGACTCAAACTGGCGCCCATGTGGGATGTCGGCATTACAGGCTGGGGCTTTAACCCGCTGCGCCACAGAACCACCCGGATCCTTTCCACTCCTGAATGACAGACTGAGGCCCAGAGAGGTGTCTTGCCCAAAACACCACTGGGGAATAGGGACCCCAAAAGGGCTCGGTCTCAGGACAACATCTGGAAGCTCTCAAAATGGTCCAGTGTCTAACACAACAATACAGCCTCAAACAGAGCCAGGCTCCCTAGTTAGAGAATTCTTTACCTTTTTACAAGAAGGAAAGCACTGGACTCTGTGTATGGTGTGTGCCTGGGCAGACCTGAAAAGGTTTGGCAGCTAAAGCTCTTATGAGATCCTCTAAAACAAAAAATCCTATCAGTAGGGGCCTGTGTGTTTTCATGTGTGCTAAATGTATCCACGACCAAAAATGCTTTGCTTGGAGACCTGCACTGTGGAACCATGGGATAAGCTGCCTCCCACAATGCTGGCATCCCATATCAGAGCACAGTATGAAGTCCCAACTTCTCTGATTCCAATCCAGCTCCCTGCTAATGCACCTGCTAATGCAGTGGCAGATGGACCAAGTGCTTGAACCCTTCACATCCATGTGGGAGACTTGGATGGAGTTCCAGGCTCCTGGCTTCAGCCTGGCTCAGCCCTGGCTGTTGGAGGCATTCGGGGAGTGAACCAGCAGATGGAAGATCTGTGTGTGTGTGTGTGTGTGTGTGCGCACATGCGTGCACATGCGCGCATCTCTGTAAAGCTGCCTTTCAAACAATCTTTATATATATATATATATATATATATATAAAAGGAATGCCAATATCAAGGATTAGAAAATCAAGTGAAAGCGTTGAAGACACAAGCACATGGTGAGAAAGCTAATTCACGAGGGGATTGTGGTGCAGCAGGTTAAGCCACGACTTGTGATGCCCTGCATCCCAAACTGGACTGCTGGTTGAGCCCCGACTGCTCTGATTCTGATCCAACTCCCTGCTAATGTTCCCAGGAAATGGCAGAAGATGGCTTGAATGCTTGGAATCCTGCCTCCCACAAAGGAGACCCAGAAAGAGTTCCTGGCTCTTGATTTTGTCCTGGCCTGACTTTTGCAGCCATTTGAGGAGTGAATAAGCGAATGGAAGATCTCTCTGTTGCTCTTTCAAATAAATCAATCTTTAAGAAGGAAACAAAGAGGCCGGCGCCGCGGCTCACTAGGCTAATCCTCCACCTAGCGGCGCCGGCACACCGGGTTCTAGTCCCGGTCGGGGCACCGGATTCTGTCCCGGTTGCCCCTCTTCCAGGCCAGCTCTCTGCTATGGCCAGGGAGTGCAGTGGAGGATGGCCCAGGTGCTTGGGCCCTGCACCCCATGGAAGACCAGGAAAAGCACCTGGCTCCTGGCTCCTGCCATCGGATCAGCGCGGTGCGCCGGCGCTGAACCAATGGCAAAGGAAGACCTTTCTCTCTGTCTCTCTCTCTCACTGTCCACTCTGCCTGTCAAAAAATAAAAATAAAAATAAATAAAATTAAAAAAAAGGGAAACCATCTCCCTTAAAAAAAAAAAAAAAGAAGAAGAAGGAAACAAAGAAAGGAGAAGAGAGAAAAGAAAGCTAAATGAAACTAAAAGTCTTAGAGCCGGCGCTGTGACATAGCAGGTAAAGCTGCTGCCAACAGTGCGGGCATCCCATATGGGTGCTGGTTCAAGTCCCGGTTGCTCCACTTCCCATCCAGCTCTCTGCTATGGCCTAGGAAAGCAGGAGAAGATGGCCCAAGTCCTTGGGTCCTGGAAGAAGCTCTCAGCTTCTGCCTTCATATTGGTGCATCTCTGATCATTGTGTCCATTTGGGGAGTGAACCAGTGGATGGAAGGCCTCTCTGTAACTCTGCCTTTCAAATAAATAAATGTTTTTTTTTTAAAAATTGTAATTAGAAACTAAAAGTATTTTAAAAAGCGTTGGGGTGGGGAGGAGTGTTCAGAGTAATGTCTCAGCCTGAGCTTTGTTGCCCCTGCTCTGCTGGGTGCAGACAACACAGTGGGTCTCCCATGTGGGTGGCGGGGACCTAAGCACTTGGCCCCTCTTCCACTGTTTTTCCAGGTGCTTTTGGAGGGAGCTGGAACCGAAGCAAAGCAGCTGGGACTCTAACTGGCACTCATGTGGGATGCTGGTATCACAGCCAGAGGCTTAACCTGCTGTACCACAACGCTGGCCCCAAAATCTAATTTCATTCCTGAAAAAATCCATGCAAAAACTATTTTTTTGTGTAAATTAGAGATGGTTCTCAGCTCAAGTAATCATAATCGAATTTTCACCAGTAAAAGAGCCTGGCTGGCATGACACTCAAAAGCAGTGTGGAGTTTGGGGCAATTCTTAGTGGTATGAACCTGACCTCCTTTTCTCCCAAATGCCTGAGGATGACCCCCCAGTCTGTGACATCACAAACCTCTCCCGCAGTTGCCTAGAGTGTCCCCTAGAGGGCAACATCTCTTCCTTGCAAACCACTGGGTTAACTTAGAGCAACCCTCAGAAAAAAAAGAGCAAATGGGAAACGTTAAATTGCAACTCTATGACCACATTTCTAAAAGAATCAAACTTACACATTCCTGTTACAGAGTGTTACGTGATCACATTTCAAGATTAAGCACTGGAGAAGATAGCAAGAGTACTGACATTCACATTGAATTTTTCATTTTGCTGAACACTTCGGAGATGCAGTCTCCTTCACTTGTAATAAGAGCCCCCTTAGATAGACTGATGTTCACCCCACGTACAGATGAAGCCGCTGAGGCACAAACAGAAAGGTTATCACGCCGCCTGTGATCGGCACGGTCCACTGTCATGGAATTGTCTCAGCAAGGCTTTTGAGAATAGCCTGACGGCAGACCATTCATGGTGGAGATCACTGGCCAGCACCCGAATACGGAACAGTTGTGTCAGTGCCTCGTTTTCTCCCATGAGGAATCTGAAGCTTGAAGAGGGAGGTGGGCTGTGTGATGCAGGAGTCACTTGCTCCCTCCCTGCAGGCAAAGAGCCATCTCTGCTAGGGGCCGAGTCCTGGACCTGGAGATTTCAACCGCTCAGAGCCACAGGAACGGGCCCAGAAGTGGAGAACGCTGGCTTGGATCCAGCATGTCATGCATGTCCCTTCTCCAACATCTCCCAGGAATTACAGGGATTTTCTCCCCTAAAGCCTTTCCCTACCTTTTCCATTCCCATTCGGAATCTGGTCCCATTCAGACATGAGAGCCCACCCATCCTCAGGTGTGCGCACAGAGCACACCACCTGCAAGTGTCCCCAACCAGCATAAGGAGGGGCAAAGGGACTCCAAACGGCAGGCCTGTGTTCCAGCCCAGTTGTACCCCCAAAATTGCCTTATCAACTGCATAAGATGGGGTGAAAAAAGCCAGCCTGGTGCAAGAAGCAATGACCCCTCAGCCTGATCTTTCGAGTCTGGGTAATCCTGGGCTTGTGGTCAACTGATGCTCTCTCCTATAGCCCTGTCCCCAACCCAGCACAGCTCTGAGGCTGCTTCTGACTCATTTCCTGTCCAAGTCGAAGAACGCAGCAAGTGAATTCTCTTGCTTAAGGGACATATGATTCTCTGAGCTCCATGCCCGGATTGTTTTCTTGGGTTGAGATTTCTGAATTCTGGGTAGACTTGGGGACCATCTCCCAACAGGGGATCTGAGGACAGCTTGCCCACCTTAAAGCAACATTTTATTTAAATTTCTACTTAAAAAAAAAAAAGCAAGCAAGCATTTGTTCATGTATCAGGTGACACTAAGTAAGCACCTACTATGTGCCAGGTACTATAATCTGCTATATACACATGATCTGACTTAATCTCCAATGAGCCCTACGATAATAGCTACTATGATTATCCCCATTTTCCAGAGAAGCCCTAACAGAACTGAAGCTGCTCCTGTGAATTTGCAATTCAATGCGAATAATATTTCACCGTAAGATCTGCTCATAAAAGGACTCAACCCATGTCTTTAGATTTACAGTTTAACACCTGCTCAGTCATTTTATGTTCCTACTTATGCTCATCAAACGTTGATTATTCTCAACTGATCACAAAGAGATTGGTACCCTGGAACTATTATTCAGCACTTCAGCTGTAAGTCAGAGCAACGGAATAACATGTTTAAAGGTAGAGCCAAAAATTAACAGAACCAACATTCGCACCCATAACTATCTGACTTCCAAGAGTGAACCCATTTCAGTAACTGCCCACCAGCCTGTACTTAATCCCTCTTCCAGCCTCGTGAGGCAGAAATCATCACCAGCACCCCAGGACAGATGAGAGACAGAACCTCAGTAAAGCCCATGGTACTGTCTGTTGCTGTCTCATTCGTTTGCTCAGGGAGTTTTGAGCTGAAACCCAGGTAAAAGAGAGGGCTTCAAAGAGAGGTGAGATATTCGCTGACTGGGTGAACCTGAGCTGTTACTTACCTCCTTTAGCTTCAGTCTCTAAAATGCGGATGATGATCAGGACAGTGTCTACTCTGAGGGTTGCTGTGAGGATCAAGTGAGATAATGCATGTGAAGTGCTGAGCACAGGGGAGCTGTCATCACTTAAAGTGCCTCTGCCTCTGCCTCTGCCTCAGCCTCAGAGGTGCAGATTCGGTTCAGATGGCTGACATGTTATCCTGACTAATTATGTTGAGCACCGCTTGTAAACCTGGCTGAGGGCAGAATGACCTGCCTAAAGTATAACTACTTGGAAAGATTTATTTATTTATTTATTTATTTATTTATTTATTTATTTATTTGAGAGAGAGAGAGAGAGAGAGAGAGAGAGAATTTCCCATCTGCTGGTTTACTTCCCAGATGGCTGAAATGGCCACAGTCGGGCCAGGCTGAAGCCAGGAGCCAGGAGATTCTTCCATGTCTCCTATGTGAGTACAGGGGTTCAAGCACTTGGTCCACCCTCCACTGCTTTCCCAGGTGCATTAGCAGGAAGCTGGGCTGGAGGTGGAGCAGCAGGAATATGAACTGGCACCAATATGAGAGACCTGCTTCTCAAGCAGCAGCTTAACCCACTATACAACAATGCTGGCCCCACTCTAGATTTTTGTTTAGGAGGACTAGGGCCTTTTTATTTATTTATTTGAAAGTCAAAAATATATAGAGAGAAGGATAGAGAGTGAGAGAGAGGGAATCTTTCCATCTGCTTGTTCACTCCCCAAATGGCCTCAATGGCCAGGGCTGGCCAAAGCCAGAAGCCATGAATTTCTTTTGGGTGCAGGGGCCCAAGTACTTAGGACATCCCCTGCTGCTTTCCCAGGCACATTAGCAGGGAGCTTGATTGGAAGTGGAGCAGCCAGAGCTCAAAACAGCACCTATATGGGATGCCAGCACTGCTGATGGCAGCTTAACCTATGCCACAGTGTCAGCCCCAGGTCTTTTTATTAATAAATTTCCAGGTAATTCTGATGCACAGCCAGTTTTGGGGAGCCAATATACTAGTGTAGATGCTTCAGTCATCCTGGGCAAGGAACTAAGATTGATTCCTCTCTAAATCTCCATTTCTCCCTACCTTTTTTCCCCCCAAGATTTATTTATTTGTTTGAAAGGCATTGTTGGGGCCGGCACTGTGGTGCACTAGGTTAATTCTCCGCCTGCGGCGCTGGCATCCCACATGGGCGCCGGTTCTAGTCCTGGTTGCTCCTCTTCCGGTCCAGCTCTCTGCTGTGGCTTGGGAAGGCAGTGGAAGATGGCCCAAGTGCTTGGGCTTCTGCACCCGCATGGGAGACCTGAAGGAAGCACCTGGCTCCTGGCTTCAGATCGGTGCAGCGCCAGCCGTGGCAGCCATTTGGGGAGTGAACTAACGGAAGGAAGACCTTTCTCTCTGTCTCTCTCTCTCTCCCTGTCTGTAACTCTATCTGTCAAATAAATTAAAATCTTTTTTAAAAAAGGCATCATTACAGAGACATAGGCAGTGTTACAGAGACATGGACGGAGAGAGGTCTTCCATCCACTGATTCACTCCCCAGATGGCCACATCGCAAATTCCATCTGGGTCTCCCATCTGGATGACAGGGGCCCAAGCACTTGGGCCATCCTCCACTGCTTTCCCAGGCACATTACAGGGAGCTGGACTGGAAGTGGAGCAGTCAGAACTGGAACCAGTGCTCATATGGGATGCTGGCGTCACAGGGGGTGCCTTAACCTGCTACACACAGCGCTGTCTCAGCTTTCTTGTCTCTACCAGCACCCCTTTCTCCAAGGTCCTCCCCACTGACTTGTGAGCTCTCCCCAGATCAAGGACTCTGTGGCCTGACTATAATGAATCCGAGCACTCAGCATCCAATGGAGACTGCCTTTGCAGAGACCTGGGAACCCAGCAGACCAAGAAAGAGGATGCCAGGTTTTGTGCTCTGGATTTGCCCCCTTCTGTCTCACTGGGAGCCCAGGGCCAGTGAGTCTCCAAGTCTCAGTTTGTCCATGATCAATAGAGGCTGAAGGAAAGCCCATTGGAACTCTGCTTTCTTAGCACTATGCCTCTGGTCTTGATAGCAAGACAGCAGGTGGGGAGACACGGGTTGAAGGAGGGGTGGAAGTGGACGAATCCTGCCTCCCTATGCCTTCCCACTGACATCACACTGGATTCCCACGATGATGGGGAATTAAATCCAGCATCTCCTCAGGCGGATCCCGTCTTCTCTTCCCTGTCCTGCGTCTTTGTTCCAATGCCATCTCATAGCCCTCCTTTCCTGGCCTTCTTGTGTCCCTTGAATGATCCAAGCGTATTTCCACCTCAGTCTCTGCACTGTTTGCCCAGCATGGACATCCAGCATGGTTCCTTCTCATTTCGGCCGCATCTTCCCTGTCATCTGCTGGGAGAAGGCTATGCTCAAACAAGCGTGGAAAGGGACGCGCCACCCCGGGCACCGGGACATTCACGTCACAGCACAACACTGCACTTCAGCTGTCATCCAGCACGTACCACTTGATCCTCACTCACTTCCTTAATGTGTGTGTGTTGCCCCCGACCACCAAGAGCAAGCTCCAGGGCAGCGTGTGCTTGGGTGTTCTGCTCACTGCTGCATCCCTTGTGCTTGAAAAGTGTTCAGCGAATGTTTGTGGAATGCGTGAATTCATGAGTTTGCCCCAGCATGAACTGTGATTCCTTTTTTTGGTCAAGGTTCCAAGAGGGGAAGTGACTATCCCAAATCCAATTCAGGCCTTATGTCTTTTTTTTTTTTTTCCCCAGGCCCTTCCTGTAAAACCTGGTTAACACAAACCTAACTGGGGTGAGGCTCCCAGGTGTGATGAAAGCCTGGAGTTGCCCCATGAACTGGGCTGAGACTGAGGCTGATGTGGGGGTGAGAAGGCGGAAGGAAAATGCATGCGAAGGGAGAGGCAGGCTGGAACAGGAGAGGAGGGTGTGAACAGCGGGTGGAGGGAGAAAGGGGGGGTGAATTGGCCATGTGTCAGGAAGTGTTTCCGTCCACCCTTCCCTGGGGACAGCCTTGACCCTGTGGCGGCTTTGTTTGGGGGGAGCAGGAGGTCAGACGGCTGCTGAAGGAGAACAAAGGTGTGGCCTGGGTGCTGATCATCCACTGAGGTCCTAGGCCTCATAGTGATCACCAGAGGATGGGCTATGGGCCAACTAGGTGACAGGCGAGCTTCTGTCGGAAATCAACCCAGCTACAGCGTGCAGCCTCAGGCCTGGCCTAGGGTAGGCAAGGAGTCTAGGAGAAGGGAGAGAAAGAGGGGTCCCAGTGGAATGATCAGCGATGACAGTTGGCAGTATGCACAGACTCCTTTATGAACAGCAGGTGGGGGGAGTCCTCCAAAAGCTCTCCACACGTTTATCATCATTGCTATTGTCCCCATTTGAGAAATGTGGAAACCGAGGCTCAGTGACATTCCATATCTTATCCAAGGTCATTGAGGAAGCAGCAAGGGCAGGATGCAAAAGCCAAGTCTGTAGTGATTCCAGTGCACCGGGGAATCCTAGGACGGTGGAGGGTTGCTGGGGCAAGGGAAGAGGGCAGAGCCAGAGTGACCCCTGTAAAGATGGGGGTGGGGGAGGGAGAGTGGGATCGACTGCATATAAATAGCAGGCCTGTTTTTATCCCTACACAGGGCTGAATCAGGCCAGGGCTCCATCTGGCACAAGCTGAGAGCTCCGAATGCCAACCCAGCCCTGTGTCAAACAACTCCCTCCCAGCATGTCCCTGGGAGCTGAAATATCTACTGAGAGAGTCATTTCTTTGGGTCAGGACAAGTGACTCCAGAAAACCCCTGTAAAAATATAAGGGCTGGAAGAGAAACACATCAAAATCCTGGCACCTGTTGAACACAGCAGTCTAGGTTAGCCAGGCCCCGGTCCCAGGGGAACTTTCAAAGGAGTGGGTGGGGGTGGGGATGCAGAAGTATGGGGAAACCGCGAGAAAAAGTTTGAAGCTGGCTTTCCTGAGCCTGCTGCTGTGACCCAGGGAACAGGTGAGGGGAAGCCACTCCAGCTCCGAGAGAATCTTCACACCTCCTTGGGTTTTGCTGGATTGACACCAAGCACCTGCAACTTTGTGGCTCGCCCCAGCTTGAAACCTGCTGGCGTTCAGGCACCTAATGTTTAAATGAGAAGCAGATAATTATTTACTATCTGCTGTGTTAGTAGACCCAAAAATGGGCTTCTGAATCTCGGAAGGTGACACGTGTAGAGACCCCTGGTAGAGAGTAAGGACCGCCCAAGGGAGCAGACCCGGAACAAGAGCTCAGCTCAGCAGTCACAAGGCTGCAGAGCGACAGGCTTTTGGGGAAAAGTAGGTATTGATTCCCGCCACCTGCCGGCCAACAGCCCTACTCACAGTCAGGCCGCGCCGGCCCTGGCCTGGTCCCCAAAAATGTGAGCGCCGCCGCCGCCGCCTCCTCCTTCGCTCCCTGCCTCCGCCGCGCCCGCAGGGTCGGGGGCTGCGCTGCCGGCGCCGCGAGCCGGGCGCGCTTCCCGGCGAGGGAGGGGGAGGGGGCGGCGCCGGGCGGGGCGGAGCCTGCTTGCCTCCCGGAGCCTTATTCCCGGCCGCGCGCCGGGAGCGCTCAGTCTGCCGAGGGAGCTGCGCGCCGCACGCGGGTGCTCGGCCTGACCTAGGTGCAGCGGCTCGGGCGTACGGACGGAGCGAGCGGACAGACGCACAGCAGCCGGTAGCTGCGCGCGGGTCCCCAGACGGGTGTGCACCCAGAGGTGGGCGGCAGACTGTACCCCGCGAATCTCCTGCGCCCCTTCGCCTGGCTCCCCTGCTGGCCCCTTGGCCGCCGCCTTCAAAGTGATTGCTGCCTCGCCGCCTCCACTCGGTCCGCGACCATGAAGCTGCTGCCGTCGATGGTGCTGAAGCTCGCTCTGGCTGCAGGTGAGACGGCTGCTGACGCCCCCGGAGGTCGGGGTGGGGGAGGGGGGCGCTGTGCTGGGTGCACGGAGGAAGGTCGCTGCAGCGCCCCCGGCGCGGGCCACTTGGTGGGGCCCGTGCGCCCTGGCGGGCTAGCGAGCGGGCGTGGGCGTCGGTGCGTGGTGGCCCTGAGTCTGGGGTAGGGGTCTGATGCAGCCTCGCCCCTTGCTTGCAGTGCTCTCCGCGTTGGTGACTGGTGACAGCTTGGAACGGCTTCGGAGAGGGTTGGCGACTGGAACCAGCAACCCAGACCCTCCCACTGGAGCTACGGACCAGGACCAGCTGCTAACCCCAGGAGGTGGCTTCGGCCCGGAAGTACCGGACTTGGAAGAGGCAGATCTGTACAGAGGTAGGTGTGGAGGCTGCTGTCCTCTGACCGGCTTGGGCTGATCCGAAATTCCCTCTGTGGGTCGAGGGTATGCAAGGAGGACCCCCGAGGAAAGGCTGATCAGCCTGACGGGAGGACTGGGTGTATCCTGGGGTTCAGGTCTCACTCTGTCTTGTCCTTGGGTCTCACCTGCTAGGTGGCTCCCTACCTTGGGACAAACTGAAACAGGCAACTTGTGCTCTGAGGGAAATTGGATGGTGGGAACTAGGAATGGCTGAGCTGCTGTCCCTAGGGTTCCTGTGTGAAATGGGTGCGAGTCCCAATGCCACTTTAAGATAACACCCCTGGAGGTGCCCAGGCACAGGGGCAATGTGCAGTGTGGGTCCCCTCTGCCTAGGTAGGTCCTCCATCCAAGCTGGGAACACAGAAGGCGATGAGGCGCTCTCGGCCCCTGTAGGTGAGGCCAGCACCTCTGGGGGAGGCTATGGGTGATGGGCACGGGGGTCCCTAGGGAGCTGTTGAAATGCTGGGTGTCTGTGAGGGCTACCCGAAGCCTGGAAACTTCTGACTGCTGTGAGTCCCTACAGAAGGGCCACGTGGGGATCCTGCAACCAGCCTATGTGGCTGTGACTGGGCACAGGCCCAGAGCAGAGTACAGAGCCTGCCAGCTTCCCTGGCCAGCCACCTGCAGTGATTCCGCAGGGTGGAGCAGGGCCCGGGCCTGGAGCCCCGGAATGACCATATTTGGTTGGAAAGCGTCCCACCTGTTCCAGCCCTGCCTGCTCCTCAGCTGCTGACCTCCCTCCTCACCCGGAGCTTCCTTTGCACGCTCTTTCTGCCTTGTAGAAATCGGAGTGTGCCCCCACGCTGGGCCTGGGCTCCCACTCTCACACTGGCGCTCTGGGGTCACCCATGGCTCTGGATTCTCCTGGCCCTCTTCTTCTAGGCTGGGCAGGGCTGGGCTGTGACTCACCTCCCACCCACACGGCTGCTCCTCATACCTCTGCCGACCTGACTCACTGCTCCCTCTCCCCAGGAGAAGCCTGGCTGTCACCCTGCCACTCTATCTCCACTTTCTGATTGGCTTGGCCCTCTGTGCTTGCTCCCCTGCAAGCCCTGCTCACTGTGTTTCTCTCACTACCTGCCTCATCTTCTGAGCTCTGAAGGGATCCAGGAGTGGGTTAGAGCAAACCAGGGACTGGAGCACCTGCACCTGCTCCTCTGCCTTCTCTTGGTCTTGCTGGGAAGGGACAGTTTGCAGATCTGAAGAGCCAGGCTAAAATAAGTAGCTGCTACCATTTAACAAACGTGTCATGTTCTAGGCACGAGGTGTTAGCTTGGTTGGCTTAACACTCGTTGCAACCTTCTGCAATATTTGACCAAGAACCCCGAGTTACAGACACATCAAGCCACTTGCCCGGGGTTGTATGGCTGAAACCGTAGCACACGTCTGCTGACTTCAGAGCCCGTTCATTCCTGGCTCAACATCTAAGATGCTCTAGACTGGTGGGAGCGTGGCAGGCAACTCAGCCTACTGGGAAAGAACACTGGATGTGAAGTCCAGAGACCACAGTTCAACCCCAGTCCTGCGTGACCTCGGGCAAGTCATTCAACCTTTTGGGACCTCAGCATTTTCATCTGAAAGCAGAAGGCCATGATATTCTTCGAAGTCCCTTCCAGCTTGAGGATGCTAGAGGTCCAGTCTAACGATCATGCGTACTCTTCTGCTAGATGCATGGCCGTAACCATGAATGTGGGCACGGTTTCCCTGCTGGGAATGGGTAGGCAGGGCTGGTGTCTTATCCCTGGGCGTGGCCCATGGCCAGTCCCAGCTGGATGTCTGGGTGAGGTTGTATTTCTCATTGAAGCCTGGAAAAATTGGTGGTGGGGTGGGGTGGGGTGGGCTGGAGCAGTCATCATCATTCTAGTTCTTTCTACTTCCTTATTTTCCGTCTCTTGACCCCTTATACACATTGTGTCCCCCTTCCCAGAGGGTTCTAAGTAGGACATTTGGGGCTAGATGTAAATGGATCTTTGAGAAAGTAGGTGAGCTGTAAAGGGCACAGAGCAAGGTTAATATTCTGCTTACAACAAGGTCCTGTCCAGGATGGCCTGCTTACTGTCTCCAAGCCAGGCTGTACCCTGGGCTCATGGCATCCTGGTGCTGACGGAGCCCCAGAGGACGTGTGCCCATGAAGACATGGACACTGTTCTTACTTTAGCAGTTTCTCACCCCAAAAACCTCCAAATATCTTCCCCAGATGCAGTCTGTATCTGTGACACTGTCTTCCTGCAAGTGGGTCGCTGAGTGCTGCATTAGGAAACAAGCTAACTTCAGGCCAACACAGAATGAAGTGGGCACAGGGCGGCCAGAGTTGGGAGTGGAAGGCGGTGGGTGGGGGTGAGCTGCTGTCGCTCCACAGTGTCCACATGAGGTTCTTGAGCTGAGTTTGTGAAATGCTTCCCTGGGACCCACCCTAGCCTCTGCTCCCTCCCAGGGTTCCCTGTGTCTGGGGCTTCTGCCCAGTCTTTCTTCAGTCCTCGGGAGGCACCGAGCAAAGGGAGCCTCCACGGCCTCCGACGTTAGGTGCCATCAGCAGGCGTGCACTCCCGCCTCGCACGATACTGTCCTGATCTTGCCCCCGAAGAGGCAAAGGCTTAACAGGCTGCCTTTTTCTTGCAGCTGCTTTCTCCTCCAAGCCACAAGCTCTGGCCACACCGAGCAAGGAGGAACGTGGGAAAAGAAAGAAGAAAGGCAAGGGGTTAGGGAAGAAGAGAGACCCATGTCTTCGGAAATACAAGGACTTCTGCATCCACGGAGAATGCAAATATCTGAAGGAGCTCCGAGCCCCGTCCTGCATGTAAGTGTCCCCTGCCCAGGGTGACGCTCATCAGCACCCTCTAGGTCAGCCACGTGCCTGTTCCTCGTTGTCACTGTTCCTTGAATTCACAATCTCACCCAGTTTCTTCTTAACCTCGGAGCGGAAGTTGGGAGGAGGGAAAATATTTTTAGTCAGCGGAAGGGCCCCCTCCCCACCACCGAAGAGGATGCAATTTCCTGTGGTGTGGGTTTGTGACGCTCTCTTTAATCCTTGGGGACACTTCCTGCTTGCCCAGAAATGAGTGTGTGGCTAGGGAGAGCTGGCACCTGAAGGCAGGTCCTTTATCCCCGCCTCATGCCCTACTCTGGGAGGGAGAGGTCAGTAGGAAACACAGCAGAGTGGGCATCCCACGTGGAGCGCGGCTCCTGCAGGCAGGTGGCAGGTGTGCGGTGTGCTTAGACGTGCACTGTGTGTGTGAACAGATGTGGATGAACTCTACAGGCCGGCCTGACCATACAGAGAGGAACTATCATGGGGCAGTTGAAGTTCCTCCTCCCTTCTTCCTTACCAAGGGCCAGGAGGGGGGGGCGGCACGGAGGGTGTTGGCCTTCGGCCAAGAGGGTGGGTGAACATTTCCTTTGTGCAGCATTAATAGGAAATGGACTCTAACCCAGCAGGCGTCAGCCGTTGGTCAGCAGCAGAACTCCTTCCCTGGGCAGGCGTGTGGGCAGAGGGGCCGTGGGTTCCTTCGCCTCCCTTCTAAGCTGAACCCAGCAAACGGCTGCCTTGGCAACCCCTCAGGGATGACAGCACTAGCAGGCATAATGTCGCCTCTGTGCCTGAGGCCAACACCCCGCATCAGGCTGCAAACATCTACTCCCTTCCCTGGAGCAGGGCAGGCTCTGGGGGCCTTGTGACCTGGGGGCCTTTGGACAGGACCAGGAGGCTGTTGTATGCACACTGTCTCCCAGCCTGTCAAAAAGGCTGGCTGCCTGGTATTCTTGTGGTGCAGATCCCCCGGCTTTTGTAAGCTCCCTGGCCCCATCTGATCGCACGTAGCAGAGCTGCCCCTTCCCACCACATCCACTCATTTGTGTGTCCTTTTCTATAACATCCTTACCAGGAGCTTGGGATTAGAAGGGGTTAAAAGTGACCTGGAGAGACCCCATGTTATCCGTCCCAAACTCCTGGGACAGGGCAGGAAATGTTGTCTTAAATTTGTAAAATGGCATCATTAGCACAGGGTGGAGAGAGTGACTCTGAGCCTAGTCAAGATGGATCAAGGCCAGGAGCCTGCCTGGGCCAAGCTGGTCCAGGGCGTTCTGGTGGGTGGCTATGGGGCTTCCACTGTGCAGCTGAGAAGAAGCCTTGGGAGGCTGCTGTCCTGCCAAGCTGGGCTCAGAGAACCGGATAAGGTGCCCTAAGGGCAGTGATGACAGAAGGCCTGATGATTCCTTCTCTGCTCTGAGAGCTTCATTGTTTACATTCACTGTGCATTGAGCCCAGCAGGTGTGTTGAGCACCTTTTTGGTGCCAGAGAGGATTTGAGAGATTGGGGAGATAGCGGCTGCTGGGATTTTTGGGATCCCTTTGCTGGTTAGGAAGGACTGGCTTTCTCTACTTGAAAAATGACGAAACTGCAGCCAGGAAGGAGGAAGTCATTTGCCTGAGGTCAGTTACTAAATAAATGAGTGGAAACAGGACAGGATCCCAGGTGCCGGATTCCCAGTCCAGCATGCTCTCCACGTCCCCAGGTTGCACTGGCTGTTGGCTTTCATGCTTCTTCCCTAGCCCTGTCCGGGCAGAGTTTGAGCAGAATTTTGTAGAGGGCAGCTTGTTGTCCTAGAGAGCTCTGAGGCTTTTCCTAGCCTGAGAGCATAGCAGTTGCACTTGAAGACTTTGTGTCAGCTTCCAAGGCAGATTTTCCAGGCGTGGATTCTCTGCGTGCTCTGCCTGTCGCCTGTCTCCAGGGCAGGAAGATTTGGAGCTCCTCGCTGGGGGCACTGTGACATCTGTACACCTACATCTGGGTCCCTTTGTGGCTCCTCCAGACCCGGGAACCACCAGCCAGGGTGTGTCCAGGCTGCCGTGGTGAGCCTGAGGCTAGCTGGCTGCCTTTCCTAGCAGCTACCAAGAACAGGAAAACCCTTTTGTGTCACCAGCCAAAAGTTGCCCTCAAAGAGTAGTTTCCCGGGGCTGCTGACCCAGAAATTGGCTGCTGAGCTTCCTGTGGCTGGAGGAAACCTGGGGACAGTGGGCCTGAGAAGGACTCAGGGCTGGAGGAGAGACGGGCCTGGGGTTCCACTGCCCAGAGACCGCAAAGGAAGCCCGCTCTTCTCTTTGGCGCCACTGACATCAGTGGCCCGTTTCTCAGGATATGGGCAGTGCCTTCGGCACTCCAGTGGTGTAACAGCTCACATGTCAGGACTGTGCCTTTTGTTAATTGCTTTCAGGTACATTATCTTGTTTGATCTTCTCACAGTCCTCTAGCCAGGTAGGCATTTCTTGTCTGTGTTTTACACGCAGACACCAAAGTTGAGAAAGATAAAGTGACTGGCCCAAGATCACCTGGCTGGAAAGAGCAGCAGAACCAGCCTGGAAGTCAAGTTCTCTGAGTCTCCCCCATCAAGTGGTGCCCCCTCCACCTCCCAGGGGAGAGTTGGAGTTTGAAGAAGTCTCTGGAACCTAGTGGGTCCTTGTTTCTGTTGTAATTCACATCCTGAAATGGGTCACAGACCGGGGCAGGAGGAATGTGTCCTATTTTGATGGGAGGCTAGCTCTGGGGAAGGCACAGGATCTTGTCCCCACCCGGGATGCTTGGAATGTACCCATCCCCCTCTGTTTCGGGAGGGAGGGGGGAGCCAGGAGAAGTAAGCGAGGGGAGGGGGAGGGGTAATATTAGGATGTTTACATTATTATCCTTTTGACTCAGGGTGGGGGTGGAGCGATTATGTAACTGAATTGTGGGCCTGTGAGGCCAAGCTTTATTTCTATCATCTGAGTAACTACCTGTGGGGTTTGGGTGATGGACTGGACAAGAAAAACAGCCTGGACTTCAGCTTCCCTCCCCTGGGACAGCAGTCTCTGAAGTCATCCAGACTGTGGGGCGCCAGCTTTGTAACTTTGGGCAAGTTACTGAACAGAAGCTAAGCCTCAGTCTCTTTGTCTCTAGAATGGGGATAGTAACTTGACCTTCACAGAGACAGTTTCAAGACTAAATGAAATTATCCTGTGAGGCAGTTCACAGGGAATTCTTGGCTCCTGGCAAGCCTTACTGTGTGCTGTTTGTTATTACTTGTTATTTAGGCTGTAAATAAATAATAATGATACTACAGTCAAAGAGCAAGGTCAGACCAGATGCTGCCTCTGATTTCCTTAGCGCTCCCTGCACTGTTTGGAGTGGGAACAACCATGAATTTGGAATCTGCCAGGACAGGTTTTAGTCTTGGCCCTGCTGCTTCCTAATTGTGAAGCTTTTGGTAGATTATTTAACTTCTGTGACCCTTCATCTTAGCCTTGCAGTCTGTAGAACGAGGTGGTACCCGCCTACCAGATTGTTAGAAGGGTCAGCTGAGCTAGTGCTTAAGGCCCATGTTTGTTAACTATAAACTACTGTGTACAGGTCACTTCCCAGGGGCGCTTCTGCCCCCTCGCATGCTGGCAGGATGAGGGTCGGTTTGCGTGCACCTGGGCTGATGGCACAGCTGCAGGGAGAGGCTGGGCGAGGAACCGCGCACCTGACCTTCACTTGTCCTGCAGTGAGGTTCCTCAAAGCATCCAGGGGTTGCTGGGGCAGGGGTGCCTTGCCTGACCTTTCTGCCCGCCTGGGTCTGCTCCTTGGAGCTTCCTTGGTGTCCTCTCAGCAGGAAGAAGGGAGTCCTCCCTTGGAGCACCCAGGGCACAGCCTGCTTCCCAGAGAAGGCGCAGCTCCCGATAGGTTCTCAGCGTTTCCTTCAGCAACTGCTGCCCTGAAGTCCCCTCGCGGGCAGCACACTAAGCTCCAAATCCCAGTTCATGAGCACGTTTCTGCTCTGCTGTGTGACCTTCAGAAACTCCCCCTTTCTGTAAGATGGGGCTCCTGCCTCCAACAGAGGATCTAGGGCGCTCAGGTAGGGAAGGGAGGTGAATATCCGAAGAGCTCCAAGGAAGTGCTTTGTGTTTGGGGAGGCAGTTGCCATGTGGTTTATTTCTGCAGTGAGAAGAGCCAAGAGCTGGTTTCTGACATGGCTCTAAGCTCTGGCAGGGCAGCTGGGCAGGAAGACGTGTGATCCAGGTTTGCTTGCTGTGTTCAGTGCTGAAGGGGGCTTGGTAGATCGCTGTTCAGGGGCCACGGGCCAAGGAGAACCCCGTAGGTTGAGCACTGACCCCTGGGGGGAGCTGGGAGTTAAATGAAGGAAACTTGAGAAAAACTCCTGGCAAAGGAACAGAGCCTATTAATAGGCTGAGCAGTGGTGGGGAGGGACTGAACGCGAGGAGCCCTGGTGGGCACGGCTGGGTTTATTTCTGGTCAGAATGTTGAGGGGCCTCACTGCAGAGAGCAGCACAGATTCCCCTCAATCAGCCCAGTCAGCCCACGGCTATTGCAACAGAACACCATGGCCCACGTGTAAGAAATCAGGCACACGTGGAACACATCTAGCTGAGACCTTCTCAGCCTCCCTCGCTTTTTCCCTGCCTGGAGCAGGACTCCTGGGCCGCAGAAGCAGGGGCCGGAGACGAGGGAGGAGAGCCACCGCGCGTTCAGGGCGCTCCAGAGTCTCCTTTGGAAGGAGAAGGCTGGGGGGGGAGGGTCCTGGTCGGAGAGTGACGGGCCCAAGGCTGCTGTGACTTTTGTGGGTGGGCCATGGCTAACCCCACCTCCTCCTTGTTCTGTCTTGATCTAGCTGCCACCCGGGTTACCACGGAGAGAGGTGCCATGGGCTGAGCCTCCCGGTGGAAAATCGCCTGTACACCTATGACCACACAACTATCCTGGCTGTGGTGGCCGTGGTGCTGTCATCCGTCTGTCTGCTTGTCATCGTGGGGCTTCTCATGTTTAGGTGAGTGCCGCGGCTGCCACGGGCTGTTTCTGCACATCACTTCCATTCCCCCTCCTCCTTCTCCTAAGCCCTCTCCCCTCTCCCTAAATCCTGGACTAACTCCTGGGTTCAAGTTCTCCGAAAGTCTGGTTTCTCTGGCATGCCGCGAAGCCAGTGTCCGGAGCCCAGGGTGAAACTTGCCAGGCCACAGCAGGTTCTGCTCCCCGAAGGCCTCTGTTTCCCTCCCTGAGTGGCCCAGCTGGCCAGCCATGAGGCCACCTCTTCACACGCTGCTTTATCTTGGCTCTGTTCTTGGAAAGCACTGGTGTGTGTTTTGGTAGTCAGGGCATGGGTGGAGCTGTTGGTGTGTCCTTCCAGTTCTGAGACAGCAGGACCTCCGATGCAGGGGTATTCTCGGTTGGAGGAGCCCCATCGAGTCCATCTGCCTGTTTGCAAGCAGTGTAGTTTATTGCTTGTGAGGCCCTGGCTCTCTGAGGAGTGTCATCTTTTGGTGATGGTAATCTCCGTGCACCTAGCTCATAAAGATGTTGTGAGCAGCAAACAGATAAGATGGGAGCTCCCTGTATGTTGTAGCCTGCTGTGAGAGGCAGGCATCCCTCAGGGCCGCAGGGCCTTTGGCCACAGGTGCGTGGGGCTGCCGTGTGCCCTGGGGTTTTCCGAGTAGTGGAGGGAACTAGTGTGGCCGAGTTCTTTGGAAGGACTGGCTCTGGCGTCTGCCTCCTTGCATGGCAGGCAGGGCTTGCTCACAAAACACATCTTCCGCAGGTACCATAGGAGAGGAGGTTACGATGTGGAGAATGAAGAGAAGGTGAAGCTGGGCATGACGAATTCCCACTGAGAAAGACCTGTGCTCAAGGTAACGGCCACCTTCTCCCTGGCGCTGGCACTGCTTTCCTGGGTCGTTCCCAGTGAGTGCTGAGTTCTCTTGACGTAGGAGTCAGGGGAGCAGATTGCTGTGGAGGGAGGGTCCCACGGCAGCGTGGTTTTCCCAGACTGTTGTGGGGCAGGAATTTGGAACAGTGGTTAAGATGCTGCTTAGAGCAGCCTGAGTTCAAGTCCGGGCTGCATTCCTGATCCCAGTTTCCTGCTAATGCACACCCTGGGAGGCAGTGGGTGATGGTGGCTGGAATAGTTGAGTCCCTGCCATCCACCTGGCAGGCCTGGGCTGAGATCCCAGCTTCAGCCTGGCACAGCCCAGGCCATTGTGGACATTGGGAGACAGACCAGCAGAAGAGAGCTCTGTCTGCTTTCTCATGGTCTCTCAAGTAAATGAATAAATGAATGAACATTTTTAGAAAAGGAAAGATTGTTGGTGCTTCATCTCCACTTAGGATGGAAGTTGCTAGAGTTTCCCAGAAAGATACCTGAAAGGAAAGCCCCTCCCACTCGTGCCCCCTCCCACTCCTTCCCAGATGCTCCTCCCACCTCCCCTGAGACTCACTCTGCCCAGCGTTAACTCCTTCCTCTGGTGCTTTAGGAATCGCGGGGACGGCTACGTCGGAGAAGCGTGGGTCAGTCGCGGACTCTGCAGAGGGAAAGGCCTTCACATCTCGCCGGGAGGACTCCTTTGTCCCCGCTTGCTGTCTCGATTGGGCCTCCCATCATTGCTTTGCCAAAAGACCAGAACCTTCATGTGCCAAACAGAACATAACCAGTGGGATCTGAATCAGAAGAAAGCAAAAGCAAGGGACCTACATGCCTTTCTGATTCCCTTCCACCAAGCCCTGCATCCCCTTGTATCTTTGTTTGGACACTCATGTTCTGGATTAAAATGCCAGTTAAATTCCATATGCTCCAGGATCTTAGAGAAAAAGGAGAGGAAGAAGGAGAGATGTGTGTGGACCGGAAGAGAAGCAGCAAAGACTGGGAAGGCTACTCAAGTAGCTACGAGGGGACTGATCTTTGGGATCCTTCAGCGCTGGAATTGATGAGCTAACTGTGAAAACCACAAGCCCAAGAACTCTGAGTTTTGGGACTTACACCCAGATGGAAAAATAACAACTATTTTTATTTGTTTGTTTGTAAAATGCCTCTTAAATTATATATTTATTTTATTCTATGTATGTTAATTTATTTAGTTTTTAACGATCTAACAATAATATTTCAAGTGCCTAGACTGTTACTTCGGCAATGTCCTGGCCCTCCACCTCGCATCCCCACCATCAGCTCAGCGCCACATACCCCCTGTCCTGAAACTGCTCTGTGACCCATCTGTAGTAACTCCGCATCTGTGCACATTTTGGAAGATCGTCCAGGGTCGGCGAGCCACAGGGGCGTTGTGTACGGTCAGGATGTAGGGGTTAACTTGGCCAGAGCCGCTCTGTGAGTCGGACTGCAGCCTTGCCTAGGCAACTTTGTCTACCATTTGTGTTTTGAAAGCCCAAGGTGCTGATGTCAAAGCATAACAGATAGCGGTGTTTCCTGTGTCCTCTCTCGGCCAAATCTCTCAAGAGGTTGGGCTTCCATGCCTACAGCTTTCCCTCACCCCACGGCTCCCACCCCACAGAGCGGGAACTGGCCCGACCCTGTGTCAAGACATTTCTCTCAACTCTTGCCATTCTTCTGGTGCTACTCCACGCAGGGGTCAGTGCAGCAGAAACAGGCGAGGAGGAACAGGGAACGTTGCAGTTGACTGTTCCCGGTCATGGATTACCTGCCACTTGCTACAGAGAAGGTTAGAGGTGGGGAAGGCTTTTGTGTCACCCCACCTAGCTCACCAAAACTACAAAGGTATGCTGTCATGGTCCCTCTGGAAGTTTCTGGTGCCATTTCTGAACTGTTACAAGCTGTATTTCCAAACATGGTTCGTATTTATACTTTGCAATCCAAATAAAGATAACCCTTACTCCATGGCCTCTGCTTGTTTTAATGGGAAACTGATTTAACATAGGTTATTTTCTAAGCCCTCCTTTGGTGTGTTAGGCTCTGAGTTTTGGACTTAAACCCAGATGGGTGTATACTTTTTTTTTTTTTCAAAGATTTATTTTATTTATTTGAAAGAGTTACAGAGAGAGAAAGCGAGGTCTTTCATTTGCTGGTTCACTCCCCAAATGGCTGCAATGGCTGGAGCTGAGCCGGTCAGGAGCCAGGAGCTTCTTCCAGGTCTCTCACGTGGGTGCAGGGGCCCAAGGACTTGCGCCATCCTCTGCTGCTTTCCCAGATGCATTAGCAGGGAACTGGATTGGAAGTAGAGCAGCTGGGACTCAAACCGGTGTCCATATGGGATGCCAGGGCTGCTAGCCCCCATATACTTAGTATTCCCAACAATTCTGTGATGGAGGGACTCTTACTGTCTCATTTTTCCAGACTCAGGTTATTTAACTTGCCTGAGGTTATACTGTGAGTGACAGGACTGGGACTGGTTGTCTCTCTCTCTCTCTCTCTCGATGTTTGATAACTGACTATGCTCTTTGTTGGACAGGCAGAGTTAGAGAGAGACAGAGAGAAAGCTCTTCTTTCTGTTGGTTCACCCTCCCAAATGGCTGCTATGGCCTGTGCACTGCAGCCGGCACACCGCGCTGATCCAAAGCCAGGAGCCAGGTGCTTCTCCTGGTCTCCCATGCAGGTGCAGGGCCCAAGCACTTGGGCCATCCTCTACTGCCTTCCCGGGCCACAGCAGAGAGCTAGACTGGAAGAGGAGCAACCGGGACAGAATCCGGCACCCCGACTGGGACTAGAACCCGGGGTGCTGGTACTGCAGGCAGAGGATTAGCCTAGTGGAGCTGCGGCGCTGGCCTGGTAGTCTGTCTCAATACTTGCATCATATCACCTGTGAGACAAGAAAGGATAGATTTTTCACATAGGAAGTCTGGCTAGCTGCAACCAGGAAAGACATCGACCTATTTAAGTGGCCAAACCTGAACTCGGGACCTAGACACGTGCCGACCGTGCAAGCATGCACATATTGCTCTTGGCAAGAACAAGAGGTTTTTGGCTCTCTTGCTGCACAGCCGACCCATCAGCAAATCTTGTTAGCCCCACCTGTTGAAGGTATGCGGTGTGCAACCATGAATCACTGCCAGTGCCATCAGCCAGCGCAGTGCAGCATCCTCTCAGGCCGGCACTCTTGCAATGGCCTCCAGTCTCTGGTCCCCCCGCTACTTCAGTGGAGCCTTTTTCTCATGTAATAGCTGGACTGATCATTTCAAAAGGTAACTTTGTTCTCATCTACTCTGCAGGCCTTCCCAGATAACCCTGTTAGACCATAGCACACACCTCCCCCACCCGGCTCTCATTCCCCTTCCATTGCTTTATGTACCTCCACAAACCTTAGCAGCTCTAACACATTCCTGTTTGTTGTGTGTTTCCTCCTATTAGAATGTTAGCAACATTGCTCCCACACCAGATTCTGAAACAAGACAAGTAAGTTGTAGGCACTCAATAGTTTTTTATTGTTTTATATATCTGAAAGACAAAGTAGAACCAGAAAGAGAGGTTTCCATCCACTGGTTCACTCCCCAAGGGACCTCAATGGCCCAAGAAGGGCTGATCTGAAACCAGGGTCTCCCTGGTGGGTGCAGGGGCCCAAGCACTTGGGCCATCTCCTACTGCTTTCTCAGGCCAAAGCAGAGAGCTGAATCAGAAGTGGAGCATCCGGGTCTCAAACCCGTGCCCATATGGGATGCCGGCACTGCAGGCCAGGGCTTTAACCTGCTGTGCCATAGCGCCAGCCCCAGCACTCAATATTTAGTTGGATGAATGAATTTCAGAAATAAATCTAGCCTAAGACCACCAAGTAGACAGACAAGCAATCCAGTGCTGCCCTGAGAGTGTGGCTGCGTTTAACAAAATGGGCCTCCTTTGGGGAGGGTGGAAGGGAATGACAGCATGACAGTGGAATTTGGGCCATATCATGTGACATGGTGTTCTAGGTGGATGGGAGGCAGAGAGGGCCATTAGCAGGCAAGCGTCACTGGAGTTCCCCCTCCTTGTCCTCTCACCTTGGAGAGTTGTCATACTCTATGAAGTTTCTCCAGGAGCCCACACAGAGGTCTTGGATGTACTTTGAATATGCCTTTAAAACTCTGGGCCACAATTACTACCAAAAATAAGCATATGCACAGCCAGCAATTCCACTCCTAGGGATGTACATGGTGAATACAAATGGTCACTGAAAGCCACGTGCAAGAGTGAACATAGCTTTACTGACAACAACTAATATCTGGAAATTACCCCAGTACTCATCAGCATTTGATGATGAAATGAATCAGTAAGTTATGGAATACCTACAGCATGAAACACTGAGTAGCAATTAGGTGAGTCTCACAACGTGGTTGAGTGAACGGAGCCAGACACAAGAGCACATTCTGGGTGATTCCAGGTATTTAACATTTACAGACAGGTTCTAGCAGTCAGAGACCTAGTAAGGATGTGAGAAATAACCGGAGTGGTGAGTTCTTTGATGTCTCCCAGGGACCCCCTTTCCTGCTTCCAGGCTCCAGTCTCAAGCCTCTGCCCCGGGCTAGGCTTTTCCGCAGACTTTGTTTCTCCAGCCAATGCTTCCTGCAGGCTCAGGGCTTCCTGCTTTGCAGCTACCCCTCCTCCCACCCGTGGTAGTGGTACTGCCGGGAGCTGCCCTCCCAGGCGGCGTCACAGGCCCTCTGGGGACTTCGTCTTCTTGGGTGAGACAGTGGCCCTGGGGGCTTTCTAAGCTGCATCCGCTTCACATCACTGGCTGTCAGGAGAGATCTGGCCCCTGAGATCTGACTGCAGAGCTCTGCTGTCTGTGGTCTTCGTCGTGTTCATAGGAATCATGATTAGGGGAATAAGCATTTCGCCTTCAGAGAGTGCTCACTAAGGGGCACCGGGCACTCTCACCCCAGCCTGGAGGGGAGGGGCTCCCACGGAGGCGCAGAGCTGTTAAAGGAGCTCGGGACAACCTAGCTTCCAAGCCTGCATGCTAACCACTGAGCTACACCCCCACATGAAATTTCTGTGTCTGACTTTTCTCTTCTTTCGATATCCAGAAACCATACGTGAAGAAATTACATGAAAAGGATCTGACGGAGCAACACCTTGGAGCTCAAAAGTTTCTTCCCCTGCCCCCAGTTCACAGATTCACAGAAAGTGGCTGAGGCACCTGATGGGGGGCAGCGGAGGGAACAGCAATGTAGGCTGCTGATCCCAACTCTGGTCTGAGTGCAGGTGCCACTGTTGGTTAGGGAATCACCTTTATGTGTGGAGCAGAACCTCTCTGAACCACTATCTCCTTGTCTGTAAAGTAGAGATACTAAAAATATGTACCTTGAAGAGCTGCGAAAATTAAATTAGCAGCGCATGTAGGATTGAAACCCAGGCCACTGATTCTCAGTCTGCATTTCTCTCCTTAGAAACAAATTTGGCTTTTCAATCAGCACTTCACATTTCAATGTCAGCTTTGGCTTCGTAGGATCACTGAAGGCTCTGAGTAAGTGGCTGTGGGCTTAAGAAGCCGTGGGGCAGCAACTCTGTCCAAATATATCACTTCAACTCTGCTGGCCTGAGATTCTTGCCTTTGTCAACAATGCCTGAAATTCAAGCTTCCTGTTGGAGAATGCTAATACTCCTGGGAATAGCTATGCCTGAAGAGGCTGGCATTCTTTGGTGGTGTAATCCATTTCAGCGTCATTCATTTAGCAAATATTTGTGGAGGCCTCCCTATCACCTTCCAAATGAGATCCACACTGACAGAGGGTGTTTGGGCTGAGTGAGGGTACAGGGAGAAAAGGAGGAGAAGTAATTCTGGAGCAATGACATTTCCTTTATTCATTTGAAACAATTGACTGGGCACTTACAATGCACCAAGTACTATTCTTGTCGCTGGAGGACCAGTCTCCTCTCAGTGGACAGCACTGACACATGGACCAACCATCCGAGGTTAAAGAAAGAAAGAGGGATGGGGCGATGCTGTGGCGTAGTGGGTAGAGACGCCCATCTGCAGCTCTCGCATTCCATGTGGGTGCTGGTTCCAGCCCCAGGTGCTCCACTTCCAATCCAGCTCCCTGCTAGTGTGCCTGGGAGGGCAGTGGAAGATGGCCCAAGTGCTTGGGCCCCTGCACCCATGCAGGAGACCTGGATGAAACCCCTGCCTCTTGGCTTTGGCCTGGGCCAACCTCGGCCATTGCAGCCATTTGAGGAATAAACCAGCAGTTGGAAGATTCTCTCTCTCTCTCTGTCTCTCCCTCTCTCTCTTTGTAATTCTGACTTTCAAATAAATAAATGGATCTTAAAAAAAAAAAAGAAAAGAAGGAAGAAGTGGGACATAATTTCACAAAGAAGTAACACTCCCCTCTGCACGACATCACATCACAGTGAAGTGCTGAAGGGTGGTTGCAGAGTTCACTGGCACAGGCGGCTGGAGGGAGCTCTCTCGGAGGAGGTCACCTCTGATCTGAGACAAGAAGGGATCAGGCACAACAAGGTCCTGATGCAAAAATCAGCTCAGTATCAGAAAGGGGCCCCTGCTGCGGCAGCACAGTCCTTGGAGGCCGAGGAGGGAGGCAGGGGCCAGGTCCCAGGGAGCCCGGTGGGCTGTGGAGTACTCAGGAGCCCATGGAGTACTTTGCACGGGAGAGTGGCGTGGTCTGATTTATGTGTCAGAAATGAGACCCTGCTGGGCAGAGACAAGGTTCTCAGGGGCAAAGTGGAAGAAGAGGAGCAGCTAGGAGACTGCAGTTTTCTAGGGGAGAAGCGGTGGTGGCTGGGACCAGGGTGGCAGCAGAGGAGGCAGCGAGGGCCGGTCACATTCAGGGCGGGTTTTGGAGGAGTCACCTGTAAGACGCGCTGGAGGGTTGCACGTGGGTGTCGTGGGAAAGGCAGGAATCAAGGACGGCTTCCTGATCTCAGTCTGGGGCGTTGGGTAAACAATGGCTCT